ATATACACAAGACAAGGTCCTACCAAACCAGCATCAAAGAGCCTCTTGCACAGACTCATATATGCTTCAACATCTCTCGGCCGTTGAATCTTCCTTGTCATTCCTTGCATCACAGCCACTCGATCAATATACTCCGGATGCATACCAGAGTCGATCATTGTCATCAATGTCTCTGCAGCCTCTTCGAAGTGCCCTCCTTTCACATACCCTCTGAGCAACCAAGACAGAGTCTTCTTCTTTCTCTGAGATCCCATGAACTCCACCCTTGTCAGAAGCCGCGAAACTGCATTAACCTCTTTCTGTGAAGCGCAGATGGCCATAACAATGTCGTGAAGATCAGCTTCGGGTTCTCTCCCTGCAAGTTTCATCTTCCAAAGCTGTTTCTCTGCTTCTGGTCCACGTCCCGCACATATATACATTGCGAGGAGTCTCTCATGGACCACCCCAATAATGGAATCATTTTCTTGACCTTCCTCAACCGCCCAAGTGGCTAATTGCAGTCCGCGTGATAATGTTTCCGATTGGTAATTCTCAATGAGTACCCTATCGTGATCATCAATCTCAGCAACAAAACCAGCGCGTGCAAAACGTTTTAAATCGCGTAAGGTTTTCCCAAGACTATTCAGCTCTTTCACAATAGCTGTCATCGCAATTAGATAGCTGTAAGCTTCTGGCTTCAGCCCTGAAAGTCTTAACTCCATAACCATATCAACTGCCTTCTTATAGTCTCCATCAACCTGATACAAACCAAAAAAAACACAACCACATTAACATAGCTAGACCGAAAAAATCGATAACTATCAAGAAACTCATCTTAACCACTTCATATCACATCTCTATGATCTCAAATCCACCAAAAATGTAAAGATTATGAAAAAAAGTTCAGAACTTTACCATCAATTTCCAAGCAAGATACCCAACAGGTCCACCTTTTCTACCTTCAGAACCACCACCAACAACACTATAACCAAAACCATCTCTCCTCCTTAAAACCTCCTTCACAAACAAAACTGCACTTTCTTTCTTCCCCATCTCACAATACAAAGCAATAACTTTCTCCATCATACTAAAACCAGGTTTTAAACCAACACAATCCATCTCAATCAATAAGTCGAACACTTGGTGTGCATCACATTCCTCTTGAATCAATTTCTTAACCCAACCACACATAATCGAAACCATTAACTCCATTATCTCTTCATCAACTCTATTTTCTTTTTTCAACCATTCAAACACTTCTAAAGTACACCAAGAATCTCTACCTTCTTGTGCGAAGTAAACAAGCATCAACTGCAATTCTCGGGAAGATAATCGATGATTCATCTCTTCGAGAATATCTGATGGTTCTCTAGTCATTCTCTCTAATTCCTCAATCGCTTCGAAAAACCCTTCTCCTACCTCATCTGCTTCTTCTTCTTCCTCGCTTGTGATGAATTGGTCTAGCTCCACGGAACGAGATAATCCTCCGAGCTCGCGAAATTTTCCAGCGGAGTAGTTTAGTTTCAGATTGCAGATGATTCGGGAATTGGGTTTTACGCCGTGGTTTCGATGAAGTCGGGGACGGAATCTTCGGAGAGAAATCGGTGAGAAGGTCAACGGAGCTAAGCCACGAACATAAGCCATAACTAAGGAAGAAAAAAGCTTCAAAATTTTCTGGAGAAAGTTTCAAATTCGAAAACTTTGAAACTCAAAAGCTTCAGAGATTTAGGTGTGAGTGATTGATTTCTCGATAGCCACCATGAGAGTAGAAACTAAGATAATCCATGGAATTATCAAAAACCTCAAGAGGAAGGAAGAAGACAATGAAAGGATAACAGAAAATAAATTTGGTCGTAGGATTTATTTAATAAAATTGAAGGGTTGAGATTGAGTGGAGTTTTCTGATCGAACGGTGGATAAGTGAGTCTGTGGTTTGAAGAAGAGGTTACTAAGCGCTTACGTGTCATGAGGCGTCAACTTGTTTCATCCGTGCCGCTTCAAAGCTCCCAGCAGCAGAATAAGAAGATACTAACCATTAAATTACGTTTATACCCTCGAATATATTTATGGGTCTATCTGGGCTAAGTTGGGCTTTATTAATGTCTTTTAAGGCCTTTTAATATCTTTAACATCCTCCATTTTTGATGTTTTATGTGAAAAATTTTGTTTTAAATTAGATGATCCCATGTTTTTAATTTTCAATTTAAAATTAATTAACTTTATTAATTTTGATGATTTATTTTATATTCTGCAGATTGTTTTACTAGATTGAATCGTGTTTAGATAGATAACAAATGATATTGTAAAATTGTTTAAATGTGTCGAAAAAATAGACAAATAATCATTTTCTAACTTCTATTTTCTTAATCAATCTCCCTAATGTTTTCATTGTAGATATTCTAAACCAAAGGAATTCTTAATATAATTTCTATGTACTAAGGATTCATAAAGCTTAACTTCCAAATTTCACGAAAGTCTATAAGCTTCATTTAACTTGAAAGACATTGTAATTAGTAATCTCCTTTGTGTATTTCAAATCCGAGGATATTGTTCTCCACTCTAAACTTGTGCTCCATGTCAAGTCTGTTGTGGACCATCACTCGTAACACTCAACAATGTTAAGAAATACATTGCAAACATGATAATTAATATTATAAAAAAAAAAGAGAATAATCAATCAAATAAAATCCATAAACCATTTTCAAATGCTAAAATTAAAAAGAAAATTTGCTAATCTTTATTGAGTTACGTATTCGTTTTGGCTTTGGTTAGTTAAGTTAGTGAAGATATGATTCGTTCTCTACTTCTTCTCTCCACTCCCAAAACATCTCCCAATCATATTATTGTATGATTTTGCTTTTGGTCTGCCAACTTTTATTTTAGTATGATAACAGAAATAGTAAGTTCATAATTTCTCTCCTTCATTTAGTTGTATTTTTTTTGGGATAAAACTTTATTTCTATCTGTTTAAATCACAGATTAAACTATTCTTTAAGAAGCAGGAAACTTGCATATTATAGTTACAATGAAAAAATAGTTTAACTTGCATTATCATTCAATATATTCAACACATTATTCTGAAATTACACTTGACAATGTACCGTCCACAATCAACGGATCTACCTAGCAATTCATATAAACATAATCAATATGGAAGTATGGAACTATAACGAACAACGAGTACGTGGTTCAATATACAATCAAATGGCAAAAGAATTCAACATGAGGTATACTTACTTAAACTTACGAAAATTACATTCATATAATCTACATAATTACATATTCTGATGATTAAACCATATATCAATCAAGCTAACTTAGAAATACTAATCAATCGATCAACAAAAAGATAAATAACGTACGCTTCCACATTTTTCTTTGGCCTGTTTTTTTTTTTTTTGCTCTGAGCTCAGTCTCAGTAAACTCATCGAAAATCTAGAATTTACTATATAGTTGTTATAGCGGCTGGAATAAAAACATCAGAAACTATGACATAATAATACATAAAAGGGAAAAAGAAAGAGAAGGGGACAAATGAAGAATGAGTGTTCACTTATTGTGTGGAGAGGTTGAGAGATCACTTCTCTAGTCGTTATTAGATATGGACTGAACATAGTCACTTATATTATAATTTACACTATATATTACACGATCTATTTTGTTCGAAACAAAAAAAATATAAAAATTTATCCTTTTAAATTTTGTATCTCAGCAAATGCATATCATTTGTTCTACAAATTTTCCATTTATACATTTAGGCATCACTGATATATACAAATTGTCAGCGATTTAATTTAGGCTAAAATGGTAAGAAACTGACCAAACTAAACTCTTTTTTTTTTTTTTTTTTGAATAAAATGTAAAATTTATTCGAAAAAAACGTTTTTACATCAAGTGCAACGATTGGTTAAAAGGTTTGTATACATCTCATTAGACTACTTTTTCTTTATGCTTATCTTGAAGCAAGCCAAGCTTCCATGCATCCATCATATCTTGTATCCCCTTGTTCCCGTATCGAGGAGATCCGATTCCGAACATGTTTGTCGAGGTTACGAAGCAGTTGCGCTGACGGTAATGGTGATTCCCCATGCCTCCTGTTGTTTCGTTCCTTCCATATGGAGTAGATAGCAAGCTGGAAAATGTACCTCATTAGGAAGAGGCATTCACTCCCCATTGACTTGTCTGTGAGGATTTTGAGAATATCTCCCCATCTTGTAGTAAATTTCTGACCAAGAAGCTTACTGCTCAGCCCTGACCAAATCTCCTCGGCATAACAACATTAATTTAAAGAAGAGGTGATCCCTGTCTTCTATCGGTTCATCACAAAAAACACATGAGACCAAACTAAACTCAGGCGATTCTTTTAATCGGTCGAGGCGATCGACAAATGTTTTTGTAGTTATTTTTTTTATTTCTCTTACGCAAAATAGCCAAAATGGAATGATATATCTTTGAACTGGTTAGGAAAACTTTAATGCAAACACATGATTAATTAGCACACCTAACAAAGATTTCAGATCTTATTTTGTCAAAATGTGATTTTAATTACTAAAGAATAATTGTGCATATCTAACAACATTAGTCAAATATAAAATTCTTTTAGATGGTAAATTCATAAACTTGAAACAATTACTATCTTATTAAAAGATTGAGTCAAAGTATGAAGGCAGGTTTCCAAAACTAATAGAGTATAGGTTTTCAGATGGTATTCTGTATTCAAGATTTCCTAATAAATAAAATTGTTTCGAAGAAATAAAATTTTGTTATTTAGAACTAATTTTAATTAAATTTGTTCTGTTGCTAAAATATTCTTTTTAGTCTACAAATATGAGAGATTGCACATAAATTGTTTTCCTAGAATCAATGAAATTGTCAAGTTATAGTAAACTTTTTATGAGTTTCCAACTAATATACAAAAACATAATGACATATCTATATTTTTAGTCGTCCGGACACTTTATTAACTTCCATATTGTGTGTCTATTTATAAGATTTCCACAATATAACATAGGATAGGTCTCCTCCTTGTATGAATTGCTATCACTCTTTTCATTTCATTTCCCCTATAGAGAAAGAGAAAGAGAGAGATAGAGAATAATGGTGGGGCAATGGCAAGAAGTTGATGAAGAGGTGGTGATCAGATGCTACGATGATCGTAGGGACAGAATTCAAATGGGTCGTGTGGAGAAGAGTTGTGAGATTGGTCACGACCACCAAACTCTTCTCTTCACAGACACTTTAGGCGATCCCATATGCAGAATCCGAAATAGTCCTTTCTTCATTATGCTGGTTAAAATCTCACTCTCTTTTTCTTTATGTTCTCTTAAGGATTATTCCTTGTTTTAAAATAAAAATCATACCAAAATATGAGATGGTTCTCTTCTTTCAAAAGCCTAAATGATAAAGAAGAAAAATACATTTTTGAACGACAATAATATATATTCGCGCGTAATATTTATATATTTCCCTCGGGTTTTTAAAGAATGTTATGAAATTACTTTTTGCTTGAATGTCATTTTAAATTTCGTATTTTAAGATAATTCTATAGTAAGATATATCAAAATAGAGAGATGGGAAAAGTAAGATGTATTAGACATGTCATATATACATCTTAATTAATCTGTATAAATATTTTAAAACATCATCTTTTAAAAAAATATAGGTAATAAAACTACGTTATTATGTAAGATATATAGTTTTCGTTCTTAGCTACAAAAACATATATGATTCTATTAGCCGAAAGACGCTAGGGTTCGTTAACTTTGTAATTTGTTAATTTATTTATGTATATGTATAGTAATAAGGATTATTAAGTGAAGTACTATTGGGATTGATATAAATAACGTTTATCGAATTAATGTACCTTAATAGGTGGCAGAGGTTGGGAACAAGCTGGTAGGTTCCATACAAGGCTCAGTAAAGCCAGTGGAGTTTCATGATAAGTCAGTGAGACTAGGTTATGTTCTTGGTCTCAGAGTTGTCCCGTCCTATCGACGCCGTGGCATTGGTTCGATTCTGGTGAGAAAGCTTGAGGAATGGTTCGAGTCTCACAATGCTGACTATGCTTACATGGCCACTCAAAAGGACAATGAGGCCTCTCTCGGTCTCTTCGTCGGGAAACTTGGCTATGTGGTCTTCCGAAACCCCGCAATCCTGGTCAATCCCGTCAACCCCGGCCGCGGTTTAAAATTGCCGTCTAACATTGGAATAAGGAAGCTAAAGGTGATTTTATTACACATTGCTTTAGTACTCTCATTGATAACAAAAGTGCTTAAAACATTTTTGTATTTCTAGCGTGAAAATTAAATCCATCATATATAAAGACATTAATAATATAATGAGAAAGCTACAAAAAAAAATAGAGCTTAAATACATATCACAAAAATGTATAGCATAAAATTAACACACTAACACTAACCAAAAATTTTAAGTGACAGGTGAAAGAGGCCGAGTCATTGTACCGGAGATATGTAGCAGCTACGACAGAATTTTTCCCGGAAGACATTAACAAAATCTTGCGGAACAAGTTAAGTATTGGGACATGGTTGGCTTACTACAATGATGGCAACACCAGAAGCTGGGCGATGCTTAGTGTTTGGGATAGTAGCAAAGTCTTCAAACTTAGGATCGAGAGAGCTCCTTTGAGCTATTTGCTATTCACTAAAGTTTCCAATTTTTTTGGTAAATTCTTGTCGTTATTGGGATTAACGGTTTTGCCTGATCTGTTTACTCCGTTTGGGTTCTATTTCCTTTATGGGGTCCACTCGGAAGGTCCACTTAGTGGGAAACTAGTTAGGACTTTGTGTGAGCACGTTCATAACATGGCTGCATCAGATGACGGTTGCGCGTGTAAGGTTGTAGTGGTGGAGGTCGACAAAGGAAGTAACGGCGATGATTCTTTGGGAAGATGTATTCCGCATTGGAAAATGCTTTCGTGTGACGATGATATGTGGTGTATCAAGCCGTTGAAATGTGAGAAGCAGAAGATTGGTTTGAGTGAGAAAACAAAATCGCGGTCTTCGCTCTTTGTGGATCCAAGAGATGTGTAGCTAGCTAGCTACCGAGATTCATATATCGCGTGTTTTATCCAACTGAATACACCTAATAGCAAAATATGCGAATCGTTTCGCTTTTTCCTTGATTAATGACTAGACATGAAAGAAATTATGCAATTCCGTGACTATTTTTGGTGAAATTATGTTTTTTGCTTGATGGTTTTGGTATACTACCTTTCATTTTTATTGATTATTTTGTGCCTAATTGTTAGACTACATTTAAGAGATTGTACTGCTAAATGATATCTTCAATAAAATGCTAACACTTGTGCATGTCAACCGTCGAACCGGACAAAAATCAACGATCATCTATCAACAAATTAAGAACAATCAAACCATCGACTCACAAAACGTTAAGATAATCAATATATGAATCCATGACATGTTGTGGGGTTGAGTTTGCATTTTGTTTGGCATGACATATCGAAATCATGAACCCTACATATAGTTATATAATTATGATTTTTGTTTTATTTCGGGATCTAATGTATGATAAATCATTGTTCTCCATATAAAATCTAAAAAGATTTCCTCAAATAGGTGCCACCATTTGTTGTCCTTGGCATTTTTCCTATCTTGTTTGAGCTATAAAGTAGTTAAAGAATTGTCAATTATCATATGCTTTTTTATTTAATAAATAAATATATTTTTTCTCGAATCATTGTTAATGGTAAATTTGTAATGTACATATTTCTCAATATTGTGTGAAATTAATACGAAGGAAATTAAATGGTTGTGCAGATGATGGTGGTCCTTTATGTTCCCTTTTTATTAGGTTTTAAACCGAATTTTTATTGATGGGCCGTCCTCTATTTTAAAGATAGATATAACTCATTTCCTGATTAGTCGAATTACTCCATGTGATATTCATATGGCTCGCACAAATTTATGTACATGTACATTAATGTGTGTATATAAGTTTAGTATTACTAAATCGAGTGGAGGGAATTATTGTTGAAGCTTTTTTGTTTTCTTTTAACGTCAATATACAGAGGTATTTAAAACACGTTCATGCAGCCAAACTTAGCTTTATGAGAAAATCACATATATATATATATACATACTCTCTAATTTTTTTTTGTTAAAGTATACTCTCTAATTTTATTGTAGAAGATTGTTTTTCTTTTCCTTTGTTTCATATAAATAATATTTTCCAATTCATATGTGAATTTGTTCTTCTTTTTCAATAGTTTACCTCTTCATAATTATCATTTATAAGTTAACATATCATAAATATCATGGATGATATGGTATTCAATTATTATATATTTGGAGTATGCATTTAATTTATTGCAATGGACAATCGCTTAAATTTTCATTTTCAAGCAACACAATAACACATGCATGACGACAAATATAACTACTCAAAACAACCAATAATTATAATGAAATGATAAATTTATTGGAGCTGAAACAAAAATAAATTGGGAAATTAATTCATAGACTGAATTTAATGAGATTGAAATTGAATTGATGTCGTGATGTCCCTAAATTTAACGTCGATGAAATGGAAACTCACTAAGGCTATTCTCTTATTTAACTGTAGATTTGAAAAAATATACAAGAAAAATTTACATTTTATTTTCGATTATTGTTTTGTCCAAAAAAAAAAAATATTTTGATGATGTTAGATGATCTTTTGATAATAATTCAATAATAGATATTTTGATCTTTAGTAAAAATATAGATATAGTTTTCATACTACTGATGGATTTTAAATACACAATTATTTATTATGAAATTCACATAACGAATGCAGAATAAATATAGTCTAAAATAAATAATTTTTGAATGTTAAATGTATATATACATAAAGATGAGAAATCTGAATTTGTTTCTTGGTTACAAATTAACTCTAACTCTATACTCAACTTTATATTTGATAATTTACTTCACATGTTAGGAACATGTCAACTTCATTAGCAATCTAATGCAACGTTTCTTTTGTGTTGATAACATATCTAATGAAAATGCTGATCAACCAATAGATATAAATCTATAGTTATTTCTGGATATTAAATACTAATTACACCAATCGTTAAATTGTGTTTATGTGAGAGGCTTCAAATCAATAGTCATAATCTGAATACCCTAGAAAGATAAAGCAGCCCGCAGTTAGGTGTTGATGTCCTCTTGCCAAACAAGGAAGCTGATGAGTGTACTTTATCTGCCCCCATCTTTCTGCATAAGTCGAACCAATTATTGGTTGAATTTATCTCATTTTGATTTTAATTTTCAAATTGTTGTAGGCTTAGCAAAATAATAAGTGTGGTTCAATGGTACCGTACTATAATCCGAATATTTTCACCATTCTCTGATTCATTTGTGTGGTATTGTGCGAGATGGTGCTGTTGCGGGACGGTGTGGTGCAAAGGTTTGGGTTCGGGTATCGGGTTTCGGGTTTTTGTCCAGTCCTACCATTTAACATAGCAAAAACCTGCATAGTATTAATATATATGAACATTTAATTAATTCTCTTAAACTTTAGTAATAGCACATCGGCGTCAATTAAAAATCCATAAACTGCGGGGTAGTGTAATGAACTTATATCTTTTACATCAAAAATCACTTTTAAAGGTTAAAATTGCAAATTATGAGAAAGCAGAAAGAAAAAGGTTATTACAAAGTAGGAATCTATCTTTCCTTTGAATTGATATCCCAATTATTGGGCTTTAAACTGTTGAAACTTATTTGGTTGGAAAAAAGGTCCATAGGACGATGGTCAAAGGTCACAAAACACAGAAAGTGAAAAGAACACGTCCTCGTCTAACTTCTTAGAGAGTGTGCATTGTGTAACCGAACCAACTAAATCCAAACCGATTGTAAATCAAACTGAACCACTAATCCACTCTGCTTAGTTAAGTATTATCAGTGGATTAGTGGTTTAGTGGGCTTTAAAATAAACTGAAATGCCATCTCAAGTACAAACAAATTAGGGTTCAAGCTACTCAGCCCTAATGGGCTTTAAAACGGCCCATAATATAATAAGTCAGAAGTCAGAACAAAGAACAAGTAATCAATCTCAAAAATGTCATCTTCTTCAAAGAAAGCAAAAGAACAAAAACAAAAAATGGAAAAAGAATAAATTTCCTTTAAATTTCCCAATATCAAAAATGGAAGTCTTACTCAATAACGCACTTCTTTAATAACCGTTTGACGTGTAAGTGGTCCGCGCACTAATCTCTCTCTCTCTTCTTCTTCTTCCACAAATCATCATCATCAATGGCTTCTTGCGTCACCGGAACAGAGGCGGCGATACGAGCCACGGCTTGTAGAGACGGCGACGCAGCCTCTCATCTAAAGATAGTCGCCGTCTTCGCCATCTTTCTCACAAGTGTTTTCGGTGTTTGGGGACCAGTTTTACTCGCTAAATACTTTCACGGTAAACCTCTCTACGATAAAGCGATTCTTGTGATAAAGTGTTTCGCCGCCGGCGTTATTCTATCGACGTCTTTAGTCCACGTGTTACCGGAAGCGTTTGAGTCACTCGCTGATTGCCAAGTGTCATCACGTCATCCGTGGAAAGATTTTCCGTTTGCTGGTTTGGTTACGATGATCGGAGCTATAACGGCTTTGTTGGTTGATTTAACGGCGAGTGAACATATGGGACACGGTGGTGGTGGTGGCGGAGGGATGGAGTATATGCCGGTGGGTAAGGCGGTTGGGGGGTTAGAGATGAAAGAAGGAAAGTTTGGGGCTGATTTGGAAATACAAGAAAATAGTGAGGAGGAAATTGTGAAGATGAAACAAAGATTAGTGTCACAAGTTCTTGAAATTGGGATTATATTTCATTCGGTGATTATTGGAGTAACTTTGGGAATGTCACAAAATAAGTGTACCATTAGACCTTTGATTGCTGCACTTTCGTTTCATCAGATTTTTGAAGGTTTGGGTCTTGGTGGTTGCATTGCTCAGGTTAGATTTTTTCTTTTTATTTTTTTTGGTAAACTAATTATTGCAAATTTAATTAGAGTTGAAATAGTTAGGGGAGAATAATAAATACTGTGAAAAAAAAGTACTAGTTGTTGGTTCTGACTTTTGAAATAATGATTTTTAAGAAACCTATAAGAAGTAATAGTTTTGATAGATGTTGACATTTTTGCATATCATAGAATGTGACATTCTATTTTAGAGCTGCTCATGGTCTAAATCAAAACCATACCAATTATCCGAAAACCGAACCAAATATAGCATTTGTGAGTTTCATGGATAGTGTTTTTTTTTCCATAGGATTAATATGTGATATTGTTTGATGGTCAGGCTGGGTTTAAGGCAGGGACAGTGGTGTATATGTGCTTGATGTTCGCGGTAACGACGCCTCTCGGGATTGTACTAGGAATGGTGATATTTGCAGCGACCGGATACGATGATCAGAACCCGAACGCATTGATAATGGAGGGTTTATTGGGATCATTCTCTTCAGGTATTCTAATATACATGGCCTTGGTTGATCTAATTGCATTGGATTTCTTCCATAACAAGATGTTGACGACAGCCGGTGAATCGGGTTCTTGGCTCAAGAAGCTCTGTTTTGTGGCTTTGGTTTTAGGTTCTGCCTCTATGTCATTGCTTGCTCTCTGGGCTTAAGACAAAAATAGAGGTTTATATACTAATTTGGCCAAATATTATGAATATCTAAATCTGTTTTAACATATTTGAACTTGGTTTACTTTATAAATATATCTAATTACAGATTTATCATTTCTTGATTTTCATTCATTAACCGTAAGAATATTTACACATTAAAACTTTTGCTAAAAAACAACTGAAAATGAAGTTAGATCTCTCTCTATACTGTACTACTACTACTAAACCGTATTAACCTTATGTTAAAGCTTAGTATTTCTCTGTTTAGACGTAATAAACCATTCCAACTTCAAGCAGAGAAGTATGAGGAACATTAAGCACAACATCTGTTCCTCTGCAATTCGTGCTCATGAACGCAAACACAACATTCACCGCTAGTTTCTTCAACACTGACGATGATTGCTTCGCCTTTGCATATGAATGTCCCAGTATATACGCTACTCCTGCTTCTTTCGCTTCCATTATCTCCATACATTCTTCCTTCTTTCTCCTAACATTCGACATTTCTTCTTCTTCAAGTCCCGGTTCTGTTTCAACGAACTCGACTATAGCAGACACTAACCGGCTTTCGAAATCATACATTTCTCTTGGAACATCTTTGTATCCATACCTAACCACACTTCTAAACATTCCATACTCTTTTGGCCCTACTCTGCTTATCACAAATCTCTCTTCTTCTCCAACATAGGGAACCTGAACCGATTTCACACATACAAACACCAGAATCTTGTGAAATGCCGGCAAATTCGTCACGAAATGTCCGAAAACAGCTGGAACTCCCGTCACAAGATTCGAATAGACCAGTCCGATTCCTGGAACTCTCACCATTCCGATGCTCGGTCCCAGAGAGACTATCCGGTCCATTGATACCTTGTTCTCAACGTCAAATTCATGTTTCTTTGTAGTTCCGTAGTTCCATATGTACATTACCGCCATGAATGTTAAGGAGAGGAGAATCGGGATCCAACCTCCTTCGGGTACTTTGTAGACGCATGACGAGAAATAGAGAAGCTCGATGGAACCGAAAAAGACCACGAAAGCGAGAACTGTAATGATTCTTTGCTTCCAGACAATTGTCATCACTAAAGTCATCAAACATGTAGTCACAAGCATCACAGAGGTCACAGCAAGTCCTGCGGAAACAAAAGAGGTTAAACATAAAGTTTTCAACATTTTAAAAACTTTTGAAATGTATGTTAATGATCATGGTCTCACCGTATGCATGACCCATCATGTTAGTGTCTCTTAACCCGATTGTTACCGCCAAGCAAAGGCACATCAGCATCCAGTTAACTTCAGGGATATAGATTTGTCCATGTATTTTGCTTGAAGTATGAATGATCTTGACCCGGGGAAAGCAATCGAGCGCACAGCATTGACTTATGATCGAAAACGTTGCGGATATGACAGCTTGGCTTCCTACCACAGCTGCAAATGTAGCCACAATGAACACTGGCCAGAACACAGGCTCTGCAAACAAAGTTATCTGAGTTAATCCTATTCAAAAGTCTCAGAGTGATCGCATACTATACGGTTTAAGAATTTACCGGGTATCGCCTTGTAGAAGCTTTGCTGAATATCTTCATGATGTTTAGAGAGAAACGCAGCCTCGCCCATATACGCAAGAATCAAACACGGGTAGACAAAGAACGAGAAAGCCACCTATATTTCGATTTTACGCAGCATTTTGTTACTAAAAGATGATTCTTTTCACTTATAAAGCTAAAAGCCTTTTACCTTTATGGACAGAGATGAGAAGTGACCTAAGTCAGCAAACATAGTCTCAACACCTAAGGAGGAGAATAAACACAATATAAGAATGTAGAACATAAACTTTGATAATGTTATAACATATAGTTTCATTAACTAATTTTTTTACCAGTGATTGAAAGAACAACTCCTCCAAGTGAAACCCACCCTTCTACACCGGTGCTTCTGAGGAACTTATACATGTAAACAGGCGAAAGCGCAGAAACTATACGCGGGTTCCATTTTATAGTATTGTAAACTCCAATGCTGCTGATGGAGAGAAGCCAAGCAGTGGAGATTGGAGCGAAAATGAAGGCGACTCTATGCGTACCATAACGTTGGACTGAGAATATCGCCACCAAGATGATACAGGCGATGATGACAACATAATCTGGAATTGAGGACAAGAGAAACAAAACTAGACATTAGACATGAATTAGTAAGCAAAAACAGATTCAGACATACTCTCGTGAAGGTTGGGAATCTTGAGCTTGACTCCAGAAACAGCTGAAAGAACTGCAAGAAACAAAATGTTTAGAAACAATATTGAACCAAAGAAGAAGACTTTGCATACGTTTCATCGCAGAGAAGTTCTCTGGGAAACTCACCTGAGATTGTTGGAGTGAGAACACTATCACCAATAGCCATACATGTCCCTAAAAGAACAAAGAGCAACAAAAACTTTTGAGATTTTGGGTGTTTCTCAAAGAATGATTTAACAGCTGCGCTCTGCCGAGTCTCTCCCGGGCTTCCCGTTGCATATGTTGATAGTTTCTCATCCATTTCTTGATGATTTGGTAAAATTCTTAGCTTGGCATACCTACACAGAAGCGAGTACAACGCGAATGTTCCACCTTCAAACCAAAGAACACACACGATTGATCAATATCGAAAACCTAAGTAGACATCTCATAATTCTGACAAAAAGGATTAATCTTTTACCTTCTCCATTATCATCTGCAGACAAAACAATGAAAACGTATTTAAAGAGAGCAATGAGTGTAAATGTCCAGAAGATGAAAGAGAACACTCCAAAGATCTCTTCATCGTTTTCATGGAGGCTTAGTTTCCCAGAGAAAGTGGTTTTATAAACATATAGAGGCGATGTACTAAGATCACCATAGATCACTCCAAGACTCTGGTAAGCCAAAGTGAGAACATTGGCACAAGACACAGTCTTCGAATGCTGAAACATTTAAAACAAAGATTATAAATTTTAAAGTTTATGTACACATAAACATTGATACCCTAAATCCCATTAAGTATGACCTAAATTTAACCTAATTAGATAAACTTAAAACCATTTATCTTCCAATAGATGTCAACTAGAAAACCAAACAGTCTAATAAAAAAAAATTGGACTTTTCTCATCCAACTCATTTCTTTCCTTAAAAATACAGACTTTTCTATATTTCAAAATCAAACCTTTTGTCAAATTACAATTACATAAATAATTAGAAGACTCAATTTCACAAGTTAACAACTAATCTAATATCACCAAACATGAAAAGCGTTCACGTCTTTGTTTAAGCAAGAGGACCTACCGAGTCCTACTTGGGAAAACAATCCAAAATTCATAAAAAAAATGAAGCAAAAACAGAGGAAAATTAGAAAGAAGAAAAAACATTGAAAAACACTTAAAACTTCCACTTGTTCTTCTTCTTCAAATACGAAAAATCAAATCTCGACCACATAAAATTCACTGTATAAATTAACATTGTTCCTAAAATCAAAAACCCAGAAGAAAAAAATCTCATTGCAACAGACAGAACAGAGATATCAAAACAGAGTACATGAAAAACAGAGGATTTTGGTTTCTATGAGAAACCCAGAAGAAGAAAAGAAAACAGACCTGTTGAGAAATACCCTGTTCGATTAGAGATGGTGATTGGTTCATGGCCGTGTAAGCAAAACTGCTATATTTCAGTTTAGTTAAAGGGAGAGAGATTGGATTGGATTGGATTGGATTGGATTGGATTGGAAGAAACAGAGAGAATATAATAATGTGAAGAGAGAGGAGAGAAGTTGGGAAGTAGGAGGAGAAGAAGAAAGAGCGAAGTGAGGAAAGAGAGGAAGGGAGTGGTGTGTTTTTTGGTGCAAAGAAGAAACTTTGCAGGTTTTCATTTATTGCTTTGTTCTTTCTTTCTCCTTTTTTTCGATTTTAAGTTTACTTTATTTTTCTTATTATATTTATTTCACTTTTTTAATTAAAAAATATATGTTGTTGACAATATAGTCTTGTAAAAATATTTTTATAAATGTTCGGCAGAAACAAATAACTATGTTTTACAGTGGTTAATTTTAGCATTTTTGCTTAAAATTCTTCTTTTTTTCGTTGATATAATAAAAAATTTACCAATGTTTTATTATTTTTTTTTTATTTTTTTTCCTTCTAATGTTTATTTATTTTTTATGTATCTAAATATGATGAAAATTATTAATTATTTATTTGTGGATTTTGTGTTTTTAAGAAGAAAAATAAAACAGTGAGAACAGAAAAAGAAAGATAACAGAAACGGTAATATATAATTGGTTTTTTTTGAATTATTATGTTCATTACTCTTGATTTACCATCTATATATATGTATAATAGTTGAAATTTGACAACATAGAAAAAAGTATGTAGCATACTTAAGTTGAATAGTAATTTGTCTTCAATATGATATATAGGTACTATTACTGCATCCTCTACCTCTGTAATAAGACAACTAATGATGGGCTGTAACATTTGTTATTTAGCACTATTTAAAACATGATTAGCACTATTAAACCGTGATAGTTATCCACAAAAAATTGCATATTTAATGCAAAAAGCAAAATTACACACACACATATATAGAGTCATAGATACTAGATAGGTCTACTATTTGTCTAACTGTGTTGCATTGGTTTAGTGGTTTGTTGTAAAATATCGTAATGGTGAAAACAAAGTATGCAGAATATGCTGATGGACAAAACTGTGGACTGAAAAGTTTTTAAAGTGATGAGAATTTTTTCAATTTAGTTCAAGTGAACAAGCAAGCATACGCTTTAAATTGGGAATCTATATTAGTCAAGAATTGGCTAAGAAACAAATGTCAATCCATACTTATACGAAAGATTAATTACAACGATTATTATTAAGTATCTCATATGAAAAAGAGATAATTAAGTTCATAAAAACTAGAGTTACTTTTGGGTTTCTATTAATTTTAAAATTCATAACAAATCAGATATATAAATTAATATGTCAGTTAGTTTGGCTCATCATGGTTTCCGTTTTTGTTTTGGCGTCAATTTTAGGTGAAAGAAAAAAAAATTGAGAGATTTTTTTAAAATTAAGGTTTTTATTTTTATTTTAATCCTGATAAAGGGTTAATTAAGGTTTAAATTTACAAGGTCACTTCGTTTATTTGTTAGGTTTGATTTTGGTGACAATTAGTTTGAATATGAAGAAATGAAAACAAAATGGTTTATGTATTTTTTTGTTTGGTTGTTCGCGAACAACCGATCGGTTGTCTCAATATGTTTTCACTTTGATTTAAATTATTTAAATTGAACTTGACACTCTTAGGTTTATTATGACAAGAGAAAAATTATGTTTCACTATAATCTTAAGTAATAAAAGATATTTGACCCCAAAATTTGTTTAGCAATTCTCACAAATGCAGTCTTTCTATACATTAAATAGATATAAACTTTAAAATATGTAATCAACATCTTAATACTGAATCGATTTTAACTCATGAAGAACTCTATTTATTCTCTCTTATTTAAATATATATATTTAAACTTCTTATACGAGAATTATATAGATTTGAATAGTCAAATAGATGAGAAGAAGGAAAGCGATAGATTTGAGATTTTGGTCCAACTCTTTTATGTTTAGAGATAACTTATCTATCACTTCACTGCCATTCTTTAATCAAACTAATAGTTTATCATCGAAGTCTATTGATTACATGCGAAAATTAGTTTAAATTATGTTAAGAGCTCTTATAAAGCTAAGCACTTATTAAGGATCGATATAAAATGTTCAAATATTTATGTTTCTTCATATTATAATTTAGAATAAGTAAATTCAGACGTTAAAAATATAAGAATATCTGAATATGTTAATAAAATTGGTATTGATGTTGTGTAGCTTTATTTAGCTAACTTTACTCTTTGCTTTTACCGTAATGGCATCGATGCCTCGAGATACAACCATTTGTGCAGCAGATCTTGGGACCATTATGATAAGAACCAAACAAATGAATATATATTTTTTCTTTATATGAAAATTTCACTGAAGTTACAATTAATTAAGATATCTTTATCAATACTTTAATGGTAACACCAATAATTCTTTTCTTTCGGGTTCCTCATCCAGCTGACAATAATGTCTGCTCAAAATACATAAAAAAAAAATTTTAAAAAAATTTGTATAGACAAGTGAAGATATTATCGGCATCATGCCATTATTTGCATACCACGTACTCAACAAAATATTTCCACAATAAACATATATATAGATAAGCACAAGTATTGTTTTAAATAAGCCGAGTTTGATAATGATCCGAGGATGGTTAAATAAAAGAGAATACTTTTCTTCTAACATTTTTCTCACCAAAATTCAACACGCACACATAGAGTGTGTAGATTGTTTAGTAAGAAAATCTCACGATATGTTCGTGTGAAATCAGAAAGCAGACCTAACTCTGTCTTAACTCTCACAAATGCAGCTTGTTTTTCAAGGTTAAGAGCCTTAAACGTGTGGTTAAACATGTATTAACAACCGATTTGAATGATGAACCTAATTAAGCCACGTCCCTCTTTAATTAGGTCAATATTAATTACCTTTCAATTTTCATTTACCCTTAGTTTTGTTTCAAGAACAATCAAAAAGCAAAACAGATTTGATTTTTTTCTTCTCCGAAGAATATTATAAGTCAGAATTTTGACTGATAATTAGGGCATGTCTCTTATTACGTGATGTATTTTATTATATACAGAAAAGTCGTGGAAACATATGCTCATCAGACAGATTTTTCCTCGACAATAAATTTTAAGAACGTGACGTAATGTCAAACTAGTCGTATAGTAGAAAAATCTTACGATACGTGTTTGTGTGTTAAAAACGATGTTTCTTTTATTGGAGCATGAATCGTGTTGTTAAACTATGCAAAGTATTGATAATCCGGAAAATAAGTAGAGAAAAGATAGTTTATCTATCAAATGATCAAGTTGTTAGATAACGAAACCCGCATAAATAAAACGAAGGAAAACTTACAAAGAACTATATTGTCACGCACTCACGCTACATGCATAAAATTATCAATGTGTTGATGTTAAACAAAATTCATGAATGTGTCAATTGTCGTGTATGTAAAAACTTTTGAGCTGCTACTTATAAATTGCAATTGCTAATTAAACATTGTTTTATTTGTTACTCATGCAACGACAATACTTAATTAATACCTTCATTTTTTGGTTTGAAATTGTTGTTTACTTTTACAAATTCAAAAACTTTAATGTTTTACGTAAAAAGTATTCCCGCAGTTACTTCTTTAATTCGTTTCTTTAAGTTTAATGTTTTATGTCATTATTTTGTTTCACAAAAACATGTTTAAAATTTTCAATATGAAATTAATGTTTACTTTTCCATTTTACACATACCATGCAAATTAATAATTTTAATTAATAAAAGGAGTATCAAACACTACAAGAAATATCTTCATTGTTAGCGCGGAAAATTTGCTATCATACATATTAGATAGCGAATTCACAAATGCTATGACATCGGCAGCTATAGTAGGTTTTTCACCTACGATAGCATTTTTTAGAATGCTATAATAGGTTATTCTACTATAACGTTAATTAAATGTTATATTCGATTCAATTGTAACTCATTATTTACGCCGTGATATATTATGTTGTAACATTTTATCAATGCTATTTTTTCAATTAAAATTGATACGCTTTTGCATTCTATATTTCATATATTTTTATATAAATTAAATTTGGTCAAAAATATATATTTAAATATATTTTTTATTTCATAGAAAATCCATAAAGAAACATATAAGTCTTACAAAAGAACTAATACAAACCAAATCTTATATAAAAAACTTCAACGACTCTTACACAACAAGAGTACTAATTTATGAGATAAAGGACAAAGAGAAACACCCTATCGACAAACAAATTTTCTTCTAAAACTTACCGTCTCCGTGAGCATTCATCTTCTAAATGCTCCTCTACTTGCTTAATAGGTCCACCAGCTGATCCATAACTGATTCTCCTTCTTCTTCCTACACAATCACACAACCATTTTGCTCTCCAACGATGCACAACTGTTCTGGTTCTTGCGTCAAAACTCCAAATGGTGCTTCATTGTTGAAGACTTGTTCTTGTTCTTGCTTCAAGCTTGGTGCTATGGCTGGTGCTATTCCTTTCTCTACCCACTTATCACATTCTAGTGATCAAAAAGCTCAAGCCATGTTGAATCGTCCTTAACAGAAAAATACAACAGTTATTGACAAATAAAGATTCAACTTTCTCAAAGTGATGAATTACAAAGCTCTTATTCTAAACAAAGCTTTCACCTTGCATCAGCCAGAAATTTTACCTTGAAATCATCACTATGTAGTTCATAGAAGAAGAGCTTGGAAGAGGAAGATTGCTTGGTCATTATCCACCCTAGGTAGCAAAGTTAACAATGTAAGAATCTACTTTTCAATAAAAGGGCAAGCAGCTAATAAAACTTAAGTAAATAGCATTAGGCAGATTAAACTACACAATCGAATATCATGCCAAATTCAGTTACTATCACGACGAGAACCATAGTGCTATAAGTTATAACAGACACACACACACAGAAACAAGACCCAACTAAACATCAGAATATTATTATGAATATCTTATGCATTTCAACAACTTTCATTCTCCACTGTATATATATGTGTGTTTATTATATATCTATACATAAAGGCCAGAACTTACAAGGAATATGACGTCCCCATAGTGGAGCAATACCCTTATACAAGCTGCAAAAAACAAGAAATCAAACACAAAAGGCTAGCAGTAACAAGAAAGTACCTTCCAACATTTTAGCAATCAATATGATAATTTAATAGAAAGAACTTTCATAATTGGAAAAAAAAGACTGCCTTTTAACACCAAATCCAGTGAGATGGCCTGAACAAAGTTTTAGGAATACATCTCAATGGATCATCTGAAGTTAAGAGATAAAACCAAATCAAAACAAATTAAAGAACATAAGTAAACATCACCTACTGAGGAGTTTCACACACGAGTTCCATCTCCAGATATAAAGAGTTCTCTTTTTGGATTTCAAGCTTACAATTAACAGATTTCTCCTAATTAAGAGTACCTTTTTAGGGTTTCAAGCTTCCAATTTCCAAATTAAAGAAATCTAAAAACCCTACAGTAACCAATTGAGATGGCTTACCATTTTGTGAGGATGAAGACGGAGAAGAATAAGAGTCAACAAATCATCTCTACTTATTGAAGTAATCCGTCCATCACCAACATAACCACATCCTCTCTCTCTATCTACTTCCCGATCTAAGACTATTCGAATCTTCCCTCTCTCTATTGAATTCAGCTTCTCCGTTACGAGGCGATTGTCCTCCACTGTAAATTGAAACTTCATCATGAGAGATAGATCTAGATTGAGAGGCAGAGATGTGGGGTTTTGGTTGAGTCAGTTAGGTTTGGTGGTAGCGGCAGCGGCAGAGGAGGAGCCATTGGAGTGGAGTTAGGGTTTAGGTGAGTTGGTTCGGGAGAGTAGGAGCTAGAGGAGGAGGAGGGAAGAGACATTCAGCTATAGTGGCGGAGACGGCGAGGACAGAGGGAGGAGAAGAGGCTGCAACTAGCTTTAACGGTGGAAGCGACGAGTTTGTGTGATTCGTGAGTGAGTGAGTCTGAGAGATTTCTTTTAGGTCTTTGAGAAAATATGAAAAACTTTCTAAGTGTTGGCGGCTTTCTAAATTTTTTGGGTAAGTATTGGCGGAACTAGGGATTTTAGCTTCCCATTTATTAATTTTTTATTATAGCGTTTATTAAATGCTATTACATGTAATCAAAATCCCAAATCAATCGTTCATAGCAATTTGTGAAACCGTGCTATAGTGGACTGCTATCAATGCTCACTTTTTTTGTAGTGAAAAAATCATATACAGAAAAGTAAAAAAAAGGAAGCCTTTCTTAAATCATGAGTTGTAGGAATATTTCCTGATTTAGAAGTAGGAATGTAGTCGTAGGTAAAAAAACCCGGCCCAGCCCGAACCCGAATTGAGCCCGTCCACGAAAAGCCCGAACTCAAAAAACCCGATGGGTTTCGGGTTCTCATGGGTAAGCCCGAAAAAAACCCGAGCGAGTGTGGGTAACCTGTGGGTACCCGAATTTATATTACCTTTTTTTCTTCTTTATTTGGATTTATGAATATTTGTATTTTATATGTATTTGTATTTGATTCTTTTTAATTTATTAATTCTAATACAAACTTCCTATTAACTTTATTATATAACATTTGAAATTGTAGCTGAATTCAATTTAGTAATCATTATAAATTAATTAGATAAACATTCAATAATTTTTAAGAATTGATTCTCAACAAAAACCAAAAGGAGAACCAACAACTTAAGTTTGCTACTTGTTGTCTTCCTAGTCACAAAAGCGAGTTTGGTAACACGTAAACATTGCTAGAAATCTCAAACATAAACGTAACTACTTGAAATGATTGTTACCATTTATAAGTCAGTCATTATTGATAAATTGCAAAATATAAACACACCATGGAACACCACAAGTCACAAGAACCAAATTTCAAACATAAACCAAACCCATGGAAGTAGTAATCACACCACAAGTCACGGAGTTACAAGATTAGCAAACACAAATTATATGACTTAAGAAGACGAAACTTTACAAAACATCAAAAAAGTCAATTTACCCGACAAATCTCCTTAACTTCACAAACCCTCTTCGAGCAGATCCCAAAATCAAAAGCCCATCAACTCCAAACTGAAGAAAGATACAAAAAATCGAAACTTAAGCTACACAAAATTGAATTTGAGAGAAAAATTGAAGAAGAAGAAGAACCTGATGGTGAAGAGGAAGAATCTTATGGTGAAGAGGAAGAATCTGAAGGTGAAGAGGAAAAATCGTGTCTCTCTGAGAAGAATCGAATTTGGGCGTTTAGGGTTTCTGAGAAAAATTGTGTCTCTGAGAAGAAACGACGTCGTTTTTGTTAGAATGAATTAAAAAAAAAAAACCCACGGGTACCCATAACCCGATAGGGTAAACCCGTATAAGATTCTCTTTATTCGGGTACCCGGCCCGTTTTAAACCCGCGTTTTTTTAAGATAAAAAGTAGATCCATGGGCTTACTATTTGACGTGGGTTTCGGGTACCCAGTGGGCTAAAGCCCAGAATTAACATCCCTATTTAGAAGGGATCTTTTAAGTGTTTTCCAACAAATATTGTATTAATTTTAGAAAACAAAGTTTTTCGTAGGTATCTTTTGGTACTACATAATATTTATATATATACAAAAGACAGTCTAATATATTAGACTTTACGATTACATATTTAATTATATGATTAGATATTTGTTTTTGTATAAGAGTATGGGTCATATAAATATAAAACCATGTAAACTGAAAAAATATATATATATATATATATGTATGAAATAAAAGTTCTGATTTTGAAATTAAGTTTAGATTTACTGGTTTGTGTTACATTATTACTTAGTTTACATGGTAATAATTAATGTAAGATGAATGAGGAGAAAAGTGGGAGGCCCATTTGGGGATCCACCAAACTCGTCGACTAGTTCTCTCAAATTGGGAGGGTCCCTTCCTCATTAAATGAATTTGCCATTTTCTCATTTATCAATTATCACTCATTTTCTATAATTTCTAATTATTTTCCCCCATATTATTTTGAATATTTATGTCTATTTCAATTGTCTTATTTGTTGTTATTAGTAGCCTATATAATAATAGATGGTTTGGTCCATCTCTGATTTTGATAGGTACTGAATTTGATACCGAGACATCAATGTTTTATAATAATTTGAAATTCAATTTTTAATAAAAGGCATAAGTAAAAAAATAAAATTATATTAATAAAGACGAAAGACAAAAATCTAAAAAAAAATTACTGTGCAACAGCCGACATGAGGGCTAATGCATACTCTAATCCCATTGATAGAGCGTGACCAATACTGATAGAATTAGACCATCTCTATCAATGTTTCTCATGTAGAAACTTAATATTAAAATAATAACTAAAAAGAGAAAAAGTATGAGAGAAAGGGAGAAACGTATCTGAAATGAGAAATCCTGAGAAACGTTTCTCAAACAAATTCACCACTTGTCAATTAATTATTGGTTTAGTTATTAAAAAACAATTCAAATATATTACACTATTAAAATATTAATTTTTTTGTTTTTTAGATACCCAGAAGAGTATCTCCCGATGGAGATGCTCTTATATAGCCCGAGGGTGTTAAATTTTCGAAATAACTACTATATAATTCCACATAATCCTAACTTTTGAATAGAAACTGGGTCTACGATCGAACCTAGTCCATCTAATTAAACTAATCAATCTATTGTCTTTATTAAAAAAAAAATAAAAAAGAAAAAAAAACTAATCAATATCTTGTATCTATTAATGCTTAGACTGATTAGAAATAAATATATTAGATATTTGTTGGTATTACTATAGCAGTATTATTTATCTTACCAAAAAAAATAGCAGTATTATCTATGAAAATGTTAGATATAAATCACTTCTTCCTCTCCGAAATTGCGTAAACAAGACATTGCCCATAGAAACAGTAGTAACTTTTGCATCAACGCAAGATTAGAACCGAGGACAATAATTTGCACCATACCATCTAGCCAATCCCTTTTTATCTCTCAGTACCCACATGGTTTGTAATATAGTCGTAGTTTTATCAAGTTGATAAATAAGTGTGTGGTCGATTCCCTTATTGAGTTTACACTTACCTACTGTAGTATTCACATCGCGAGAAAGAGAAAGCGAATAGTAGTAATTCAGTACGTTTTTTTGTCATGCATGTAGATGTAAAATGTTTGTGAATGATTCATGCGAAGTCAAAGTGTACATTTTGCTACTGTCGTATTCTCGCATAGCTGGTACAAACAAACGTCAATAATTCAGATTTCACATCAAAGAAACGTAAAGGACATATGCATGCACACGGTTGGGAATAATTTAAGACGATGTAAGTATTATAATATCAGACACTCGTCCCTCTAAAAGCCTCAACAACCAAATCTTTTGAGTGTCTTGTCATCTTGTAGGGCCCATCCGTACCATATTTTTAAAATATATCTCAAAGTACATTGCATGTAAAAGTGGATCGGAATAATGCAACCCAAAAACAAAGAAAAGGCTACTGGAAAATAGGAACAAATGGGGAAGAAATTAGAAAGAAGAAACACAAGAAAAAGTAAGATTGCGTGAGTAAAAAGGAATATGAAATTATTAAATTTTGTAAAGTAAAGTAGACAGGAAAGAAAAAGCAGTAACGCGTCCCTTTGATTGATCGTGTTGAAAGTTGTGTATGATGTTTCGATGAAGTTTCTAGGTCTTATATATACCTTAATTAACGCACATGCATGGATCTTGTAAACTTCATTAGGAAGGTTCTTTGAACTCCTTAACAATTAGATTTGAGCTTAATACAAAAAGTTTAGACAAACAAGGTAGTGACTCAATTGGTTTCTTTTAAAAGTAAATATCCAAGTACTGTTTCTAGTCATTTATAAATCGAGGTAATTATTATACATTTGGAATACAAATAATGTTTATAAAGAGCTAGTCTCCAGAGAATTATGTTGTCCTTTTATGTTCTAACCAAATCAAGCTTCTTTAGTTCTATTAAAAGGAAAAGATGGGTTTCACTTTTGGTTCGATAATTAGATGTATATGAGATTTTATCTATCAACAAAGGTACTATTATAAATAAGGTTTACGTTTTGCTTTCGAGTATTGAACGTGTCATATTTACTTAGAGAACGCAGAAAATAAACCTTTGTGAATCTTTTTTCTTTCTTTTTTTTTTGGGTAAACACACCTTAGATCTCATAATACAGCCATCAACACTGGCCACTATTCTATAGCCTAATGTGTTTATATCTATCGGAGACTTTTTTTTAATACGTGGTTTGTTCACTGAATCGTGTTGATCGTCTATAACTCTATATGTTAGTGCTAATTGTTTTGGTAAATACTACTACTTTTTTTTTTTAACTCGAGTCTTTGTAATCGCACCGACAAATCAGTCTTTACTAATCACACTGACAAAGCAGTACTCTTAATGAAATAATATCACTTTCATATGTAATATCAAGTGATTTGTGAGTATATCATATGTGATATTTTTTCCCAAATGTGAGGTATGTCCTACAAGTGTGACAAAGTCACCATCATGAATTAATTAATGGGTTCTTAATTTCGGGATCCAGTTTAGTGAAAGTCCAAGAAAACTAGGTGGGTCCGGTCAACTATTGTGACACATGACCCAACCTGAATCGTAATTTGTCCATTTGTAATACAACGAATAACGAAAGACCACCAGAGATAGAAAGCGAGAGAGAGACTTGATCAACATATAGAGGGCTCTGCATAGAGTCCTTATCCAAATCAGTAGAACATAAATCTAACTGCAAATGGTCGCTTAATTTAATTCCAACTTTTTTTACTAGCCAATCATTTTGGAAATCTAGAATTCTGAGTGACCGACCACTTTTGAGTGATGCAAGTAAGACGACTTGTTTCAAAAATAAAACACACGAATCATCCACTGTTCCAAAATCAAAATGGAACCACCTCTTGACTCCACACTGTTTCCAACAAAATCATAAGAGAACTCAAAATATACTCTTTTTTTCCAGATTATGAAAACCCAAACAACCCCGAAAATCAATCTCGCAATATGCAAAATGTCACCTGTGACACTTTTGTGACACTAAACATATAGACTCTCAACACGACTCAAAACATGTATCAATTTAAAATAAAAGCCTAGTCTTCCTTCGATGGATTTAAAACACATCATCGGGCTATCGATTACCTGGCCGTATGTGTGTGTATCCATGCATGCATCTTAAGTTGAGGGAACAGACTCCTCTGTTTTCTTTTCTTCAACAGCTTCACTCTTCTCCTTTTCCTCTGCTTTCGCCGCTGGTTTCTCCTCGGTTTTCTTCTCTTCCACTGTTAACTTCTCAAGAAGACCAGCGGTATCAGAGGCGTCTTTGCTCTCTTCTTTCTCTTCTTCAGATTCAGCTACTTCCTTGAACTTTTGCATAAATGCTTTGCAGTCTGATCATGTAAACAAGACTTGATTATAATTTATGCAACTCTACTATGACTTTAACATTTAATCAACAGAAAAGTGTTACAAAAACACAAAACACTTCCGAATACTACACACAGCTCAGTTCCAAGCTACATTAAGGCAACCAGTATTACACTAAACTTCTTTTATCTATGCAGATCATACACTTGAAGCTATATAGTTAAACTTCTCTAGTTTGATTGCCACCTTTAAAAGGTTATATCATCAAGCAACAACCATGATACTCTTCAACTTTCTGATTAGAGTGAATGGTGCATATGAAACCTACCAGAGAAACGAAATCAAATCTCTAAATTGGCCAATGACAAACGAAAACTTCCAAAACATACTGTCAAACGGCAATATCACTAACTTAAAGATCCTCCAATGATATAAACCATAAATGGACAATAGTTACGCTCTAGACTACTCCAAGAAGCAAAACGGTGCAAAAAGAAAATGAAGCAAGTAGGTAATCATAACGTTGAAGCTAGCTACTATAAGGTATGACACAATGACCATAATCACAGAAAACGAGAGAGATCAGTGCTACTATAGCAACAATCAGGTAATAAGATCTAATCAACTGAGCCAAAAAAAAAATACACAAAAGAAAATTCACACTCACTCTCAACTGAAGCAAAACGGATACAGAATAGCTCATCCTTCAATTCACCATCGGAGAAATCACGAGCGTGCCATACACAAGACTTATCATTCCCAGCGTGTTCCTGAACACTCATACCCGATCGAACTGCATGAAATTCCAAAGGAAACGATCAAAAATGAGTGAAAAGAGACTACTACAAATACAGATCTAGATACAATAAACCCAAACGTAGACGAATCATACCAAGATGATTAGCACAGATCTTCAAAGTTTTTGATTGCCTCATAACAAGACGAATCTTCCCAGAAACTCTATGTTTTAAGAACTTAACAGTACCAGCACCTCTCTCTTTCCACTGACTTCCATCTTTATCGAATCGATACAACTTCGATTTCCTACAGATTTTCGCCAAAACAACAATCAAGCTCCTAATCGAAACTAAAACCCTAGAACTTGAGGAACTACTACGGAAAACGATCAGATCCAGTACGATTTAGATCATACGATAGGGAGATACATACAGATCGAGGATGGTGTCTTCGTCTTCTTCACCGGTGGTGACGGCGACTTCTTCAAGCCTGACGATTGGAGCAACCTGAGCACCGGTGTCTTCATCTTCGTTGGCTCCAGTCTCTTCTTCGTCTCTGTGCTCACGCTCTGGCTCGTTGCTAATGCTCGCCATCGTATCAAAATCAAATCAAGCTTTTGCTCTGAGTTGGTTTTAGTTGTTGGTTTTGTAGTGTGTATGAGAGATTCAAGGGAGAGAATTTTGGGAGTGTTCTTGTAGAAAGCAAATGAGATTTTATATACGAGACGCCGAGAGAGACGGTGCTTACTGCTTATCATCTTTGATATAGAACTAAATGGGTCTAAGGCCTTAGCCCACGTTTATCCTGTAAGCTTATAATGGGCCCTTTTGGGCCTGTTTATATATATCTTTTTTTTTTGTCAACAAGGCCTTTTATGAATCATAAGAACATCATGTATCAAATCAAATGCAGACAACACGTATCTAATTTTATGCAATAAGATCGATTAAAAAAACTCATGTTATGACAAACTTCTTTCAAATTAAGATCTTTACCATAGAGAAAGAAGTAAGAATATCAAATGAAGAAACAAACTATATATCATGAAGATCTCGTTTTTTCGAGTTTAAAATGGTCTCTATGAAAAGAAAAAGAAAAAAAAAATCCAAAAGTGTTTCGAATCAATTTTTAGAAAACCAATTCAACATTCCCTCAAAAAGATCCACCAAACCGGACTAAGAAAGGATTAAAGAAAAAAGTGTTTAATTCAGTTTCTTAAAGGTAAGAGCAGAGAGATAGCAAGGCATCAAAAACCTAAGGCTCCACAGCAGTAACTTGTTCCCACTCTCCATCAACAGCCTCTTTCCACACCGTCACGTTATTGTTTCCGTCGGACACGGCCAACAAGTTACCGGTCAACGACCACGAGACCCGCCACACGGGAGTCATAAAGTCCTTGAGAACCTTTCCTTCCCATTGCTCACCTTCTTTTCCCACTGTCCATATGATAACTTTCCCATCTTGGGAACCACTAGCTATGGTGGACTTTGGGAGACCCAAATTTGGTGCCCAAGCCACATCACGGACCCAATCAGTGTGCTTTTGAAGAGCTGGAAAGCAATCCATCTTCCACGACCCGTTTGAGAGCTTCCACACTTTCACGGTATTATCACATCCACCAGAAGCTAGCTTGTACACCGGATCGAGCAGACCAGAGCTCACAAGAGCACCAGGCGCTGTGGCTGGGGCCCATGAGACTGAAGTGACTCCAACGGGATGCGCTTGGTCAATCCTTGTTGTGTCCCAGCCACCATCAGCACGGATTGTGAAAACCGAAATGTTGCCATCAGATGACCCGCAAGCCAAGGATAGTCCGAGATCATGAGGAGCCCATGCAATGGAGTTGACTGAAGATTTGTGGTCTGTGAAGACATGATCTTGGGTCCATTGGTTCTGGTTGGCTTCTTTCCAGATTATGACTTGACCATCATATGAACATGAAGCTAGCATTGATCCAAATTTAGGGTGTGCCCACGCGACCTCCCAGACTGGACCACGGTGCCCAGTTAATGTAGCTAGTGGCTGCGATCCACCGTTGTTGCTAACGCCAGTTATCTTGATGGTGCAGTCAGACGAGGCAGTTGCAATTCGCTTTCCATAGTAATCCATTTGGACATCATGGACAATGTCCTCATGACCCGTTTCAATCTTCTGGCCTGGCATGTTTCCAAAATGAGTGTCCCTGCACATAGAAGTAAAATTGCAAAACTATTGTATGAGAACATCTGTGTAGAACAACACACACAGCAAAATAGCCTGTAAAACACAGCTCATAGAAGAAAAGCAGAGATCATTAAGTACAAGGTTCACAGATAATCTCACTTCAAATAGTTGAAAAAAAATGTAAAAGCTCATATACTATCTTTCACAACAACTTCGATACTCATACATCACACATATGTATAGGATACAATCACACCAAAAGCAAGATCAATTATAATAAAAAAAACAACCGCATCTACCACAGGAAAACTCAACTAAGTGATTCTCCGCTTGTTCCACCAGGAAACTATATAAACAATAAGACATAAGCTACGCAATGCAAGTTGAAAAGGAACTCATGAAACGAATATGTTGATCAGTAGTGAGTAATTCACATGTCTTCCAATGGATTTCAATCTCAATGAAGTATAATAACATCGTTCTTATTTTCACTTTGCTTGCTGAAGCAATGAGCAGCATATCTCACCAGACACATGTAACAACAAATATTTAGTCGAAATAGATCACCATGTAACAGTCAATTCTCAGAGATCAAATTAAACCTCAAGCAACAATCACCACAGATAATCAAACATTGCAGTGGCAAATCACACATGAATCCACGAGTAACAGAGATTCAAGATCGAAATTCGAGTCGATGCAGATCCTAAGGGAAGAAAATATCTAATCGAATCGATTCAAACACAAAAATCGAAGCTACGGTTTCGAATCCGAAGCGAAATGTACATAAAGGAGACATCTGTATAACGCGATTCAAAAATCGAGAGCTAATCATGGAAAAGCGATTCAATTATACGAATCACGAGATCGGAATCACAATACAAAACAGATCAAACGAAGGAAGTTCACGATCAATCACTCTGAAAGAACCCTAGCTTAGATTTGTCGATACAGCTAAAAAACAGAGAGGAGGAATATCGAACTGCGCAGAAAAATCTCAGGGAAGAGATAACGAACCTGAAAGCACGATGGATCGAGTGAGAGACGGTGCAATGTGAGTCGAAGAAGAAGAAGAAGAAGATCGCCGGAGAAGGAAACGCTAAGGGAAAGCAATCGGGAGTTTTTATTTTTTTCTGTTTCTAGAGTTTTTGTATATGCTGGTTAAAATAATATTAGATCTGGCTCAAAGTTAGATAAACCGGAGTTCAGATACTAAACCGGGTGGGTCAAATTTAAAACCGGAGGGAGATGAGAGATCTATAAGTTCAGATCCATCATGAGCCATGGCTACTACTACAATATGGGCTTTATGGGCCGACTATTTTTTTCTCAACCAAAATATGTTTTTATTTTAGAAAATGGAGAGGTACTAATCACATTGTTTAAACTTTAAAGTACTAATGGAAAATTTTAAGTTATATAATTTATTTTTTTTATTTTTCTATCAAATCTTAAAAACTTAAATAAAACCATTTGTAGGCTCCTAATAAAATTTTAAAATATGTGTTAAAATATAAAGAAATGTAGGTCACTCGATAAACAGTTGGGATTGAAGCTCCTTATAAAAATTTCTTCATTCGGTAAAATGTAAAGAGTCTCAATTCCGTGTTATTATTTTTTAAATGTGTATTATTGGTTATCTTTAATATTTATTGGTTAGCTGATCTTCTTCAACTACAAAGCTTTTTCAAATTTACATGTTTCTTTTTGATATATGGGAGTACCTACAAAAAATCGTGAAAGAGGAAAAAGGTTGCTCGACAACACTTGCTATCTAGGTACTGGCTAAGTTGGCCAGGTATTCAATTAAATCTATAAAAGTATTGAACTTTCTTAAAAACATAAAGTACGTAATTAGGTGACAATAAAGATGATTGTCATAAAATCGTAAAAATATACATACGGAATAACCAAGTGAAAATCAATCATACTATCACAATTATCCATTGAAAAAAGTGTTGCAAAAAAAAACAAAGAAAAAGTTTAGAAGAAGAGATAAGCGATGAAGAGAGTGGAATATTCTTTAATTTAAACGTATATTATCTATGTTGATACTTTTTTCTAAATTGAAAAACTTATGAGTTGTGGTAAGCCAACTCAACGTTGCCCACCACTTCATCGTCATCTTCCATTTTCTCTTCCTTATTACCATATTTATTGTCTGCCTTTTTAAACGTTGAACAAAGTTTTATAGTTCACATCGACTATTTGACCTAACAATATTATCCAACGCCGACAAAAAAAACTTAAGGATAGGCTGACAATTTCATGTTGACCCTAACCACATACTTTATTAGCCTAACTTTACTTAATTACATGGTCTTAGTTCCTCTCTAACGAACTTCAATATTTTACTCTATAACATATGGTCCAAGAAAAGCTACCAAACCAAAAATTGGGTGTGTTAAATGAGAGTTATCAACAAAAAAGAGGTAACAATTGAGAGTTAAGGACACTCGCGTAAAAGAGTTTTCATGATGATAGATAGACCGATCCGAATCACATGCAATACCAAACAAAAAGTTAAGGCTGAGAATGAAAGATGTAGATTTTGCAAACTTATTCTTCTTATTATTATTTTGATAATGATAATGATAACAACAATAACAATATAGAATACGAATAATAATACTACTGGTGTAAAACGTGGCATATATCTGAATATTCTCTACCACCAATACAATTACTTCACACGTCATTGCCGACGCCAAATCCGTCGCCGACTCTTCATTTTCCGGCTGTCTTACGAAATCATCGCTCGACGACTCCGATGATGTGTTAAATCCCAATTCTACCCTTGTTGAAACAGGAACTTCCTTTATTGTCCCCGACTCTTCGGAAGTGTCTCTAACCTCAGTCCAACCATTAGATTCCCAATTTGCCCCTTCGGTCATCGCTAATTTACTTATCCTTGCCATTGCTGAAACCGTGGATTCTGGTCTCGACTCGTTGCTCTCTTCTTCTTCGTCGAACTCCGAGTTGACCCAGTCAAGAACGCAACGCGGAGACGACTCGGTCAAGAACGAGTCATGATGATCTTGAAAAAGAAATGGATGCTGCAAAAGCTGATCACAACTCCACCGCTGACTCCGATCACGTTTCAAGCATTTCTCTAAGAAATCTCTCCCGAGTTCCGATAATCCCGCCGGAATAAAAGGCAACTCGTTAGAAAACCCGATCCGACTCAGCGAGTCGAAACCGTGATCTTCCCAGGCTGGTTTTCCGGTGAGCATCTCTATGACCGTACATCCTAAAGACCACACGTCACTCTCCGGTCCTTGGTACTCACGTCTAACCACCTCCGGAGCCATCCAAAGCGGACTTCCACGTGGCGAAACCTGAACCGTCGATTTCTCAAACTCAACCGCCGATCCAAAATCCGCTAGCTTAACGGAGCTACCACCGTTAAACACAAGAACGTTCTTAGATTTAACGTCGCAGTGAACAATTCCGTTAGCATGAACGTGACTCAAAGCAGAGACAAGACACCACACGTAACGCCGGAGAAGCGTTTCGTTAACAATTCCACCGCTTGCCACGTCACCTTCCGGTGAATACTCTAAATGAAGATTACGAAACGACGTCGTCCCTTCTTTAGACACGTCATCACCGAGAAACCTCACTATGTTTGGATGAGACTTCATCGACCGGAGAATAACGATTTCGTTCTCTAACGACTCGGCTTGAGAAGGAAGACACGTGGCGAGATCTACTGACTTCACGGCGAAAACTCCACCGTCGATTTTACTCAAAGCTTTGCTTACGGAACCAAAACAACCTCGTCCAATACAAGAACCACGAATCCAAGAAGAAGAAGAAGTGTTTGTGATAATGTTCTGTTTCTCCATTTTTTTTTTTCTTAACTAACTTTTCGTGTGTAAATTTCCAAGGACACACGACGATATTTATACGTGTGATGAACTGTCAAATGTGAACGAGAAATAAAGTTGGAATTTTAATTTATTATCCGACGTGGATGTTTCTTTTCTACTTGTCTTTCTGGATTTTGAAATCGTGAAGCCATAAAGACTTCCCACTTGGGGAAATTCAAAACAGTATTAAGTAGTATTAACTTCTTAATTAAATTAGCTTTAATTTTTTTTAATTAGACAAATGGATAATTAGGAAGAAAGGTTTTGATACTTTGATGATGTCAGTAACGACACTTGGAGAAGTTCTTGGGATGTTGTAAGAAAGAAAACTTGAGTACTTTAACTTTTATCCTTATCAACAAAGAATTCAAGTTGCGATTTGATTAGGTCTCGTTGAAAAGGATAAAACTGGATAAGTCAACGGTTTAATAAATTGGTTCGTTTAACTTCAACAAAGAAAACGGTTTGTGTTATAATTTTACTGTTAAGGACATTAAGTTAGGACCGACAAGTGCAGAGAGATCTGCCCGACTTAGTCGTGGGAACGGTAAACTAACAAAACGTGTCGATTGATTTTCGGGACCTTTGTTTGTTCGGTTGACTTTGTTCTTGTTGTTGTGCGTTATAGTATTTTTTTTCTTTTGCTTTGTTGACTCTCGTGTTATTGGAAATCAGAGACATGGAATATTCGGTTGTATCTACGAATGAAGTATTATTATTCTTGTAATCGTGATAACAAATTACGTAATAGCCAATCATATGAAGAGATTTGGGCTATAATCATTTTTTTGCCAATATTTGGACTACGTTCAAAGAGTATAATTTATTAATCTAATCCAATCAATCATTCTCCTAAACTTTGTGATCTTCCTACTCACATCTTGTAGATTTTTAAAAAAAAATCGTAAACATTATGTTATTTTGCATTTCTGAAAAAACATTACCAAAGCAAACATGCCTAAGTTGAGACACTCGTACTATTGTATCTCGAAAAGCATGCGTGTATATTAACATCCAAAGCCGGTCATGAACCCAAACTGGAAAAGTTTGAGTTTGCGGTTGGTCGCCGATAGATTTTTAGAATGTATATGTACAGTAGTGTTAGAGATCTCGAGTTGTGTATAAATGTGAGGGGTTGGAGTCTCTTTTTCCCCTATTTTAGTTTAAAAGTTCTTAACAGATTCTTACTAATTGATGGCCATAAATTTCTTTTTTCTTTTTTTGTTTGCTTTCGGTCTTCAAATTTCCAGGGCCGACCCTTGTTATATATCATCTCACACTAGTGTTCCGTCAAAAGGTGTTGAACGCTACATATATACTTTTACACATGTTAGATGAAATTGAAACAATATTAGACGCTCTTAATGATAGGCATCGTCCAACTAATTTTTAGTGCTTAAAAAGTGTCAACAATCGATGTCGACGAGGGTGCATCGGTGTATGTACACGAAGCACGGGCAGGACCTTATAAAAATTAACGAACCAAACAAATATTGGAAGCGAGTAAGTAACGTGGAGCGACCGAGTTAGTTGTCCAAAAGGGGGTTGAGAGAGAGGTACGTTTATCACTTGGGCACCTAAAAAACTAGAGATCTTTGGAGGGGTCTACTTTGGAAACTTACGTGTCACTAACTTGTTGGTCCACGTTCTCCAACAGAGAACCAAAGACTCCAGTTGTCCGAACTCACTAATGTTTTGCTAGAAGATCGCACTATTGACGTGCACTCACCACCTCCACCTCTACTTTTAAATAATATCGTCTTTCTTGTCTTTTGTTGGGTAATAAAACAGATAATTTACTCAACGTGATCCTTGAGGATATGAAATATAAAATGTAGTTTTTATTTGAATATTCCTCAATAATCTTGATCATGAAACAAAGTTCATCAATAATCATTTTCAAATACTAGCAAGTTAAGTTAACTAATTCATGAGTTGACAAAACACAAGTTACTAATTAATTAATTAATTAAAATTTTTAAAATAATTTTGCTGCTTCGATACACTTGCCATCTAAATACCTATGGAATTTACTTAATTAAAAAACGTCGCTTTATGAAAAAAAATCCGCCGCAGCTTATCGTATATAAAGGTAGATATATTATTAATGTTACAAAATTTTATTTTATTTGTTTGCTTCTGAGAAGATCTCTGCCCTTCCGTGAACGTGAAGTACTACTATATTAACGGTCCACCACTTGTATGGATATCCTTTAGATTAGAGTCCAAAAAATAAGATATTATTTATAAGATTTAATGGACCCATACCATATTACCAAGTTACAGATCGAAACAATCCACTTGGAAAACATATTAGACATTGCAAGTGCAACATGTCATTCATTGGTACTAAACTTTAATGTTCTTTTCTAATCGAAATTGACTTCTATATATGTATAATTACTCAGAAAGAGAGAAAAAATCTATACAAAATAAAAGCAAAGGTAATCAAGAAACTGTTTGACATTAAGGCGCGTGGTTTTAAAGAGTTTATAAGAAAATATTTGAATAATGGAAAGAGAGACATTTGATTAAGATTATGTGATTTGCTTTAAAATAATATTTTTGAGGTACTAAGGATCAAAACATAGTAGAGACATAAGTTGCTGTTTATGTTGATAAGTGTCGTGAGAGAAGAAGACAACGACGAAGCAGAAAAAACTCGATATTAAGGTGGCCGACAATACAACATGCTTATGTTATTGAAACTCCGAAGAAACCTCTAACAACATCATCATCTTTAGATTTCTTTTATAGGATTGATTCAAGATCATGCACACTTGATCTTCGTATCACCAAGATAATGATCTAAATGGTTAGTAAAAGTGGCAGCAATACAAATCGAGTAATATCTGCATGTTCGAAGTATTATAAGCACAGTTGAGGCGGTATATATGGGTTGTCAAAATGTTATGTGAACGGTTTCTCCCGGCTAGTTTCAGGCCGAAGAAGATTATGGGTCAAAGATTCAGAATTTCGTTGTTAACAAAAATGTTATGTGAATTTTATTGCAGTTTAAAAGTTAAATGCAAAATTATATTTTAACTAAACTTTTATCATGTAACATATTAATATTTGAAATTTTGTGTCGTCTTTTTTTTTTTTGTGCAACTTCTGAAAGGGATGCAACAGTTTTGTGTCGTCTTTAACAATTTGAATTATATATTTATATATCTATATTTTTTAGAAAAAGTTGTAAGCAAATTTGTGAAGTTTTGATCGATTTAAACGCTATAACACTTCTGTAATTTCATCAGTCAATTGAACCATGTTTTTTATTCCAAAACCTCAGCAAAATTACGCTCTCATTTAATACTTGTACTGCATATTACTACAACATATTACTTTGGTGAGGTTGTTACTCGACTTGTAGTTGTAAGAGAGCTAAAGAATCTCAAGTCTCTGAGAGACTCTGACAGAGATAAAGGGTTTGGAAGACACCATATTAAAACTTTTTTGGGATTTCAAATCGTCGATTAGAGGTAAAAACATACCTCTCGATGAAAAGTTTCTAACAAATGCATATTCCATTAAGACAAAAGACCAATGCTTAGAATCAAATAATGTCAGTGAATTGTTTGCACGTATCTACGATTCACTTCCATTTCATGAATTCCTGAATTCTTTTTTTTTGTTGCCTAACACATTAATTTCTGAATTACATTGCTAAACAAATTACAAAAAAAAAAAAGTAAATGACTTGAACTATACTAGTTTATAAACTAAGAAAACGAGGGACCACACGCAAAAACACCGATTCTAAATTTTAAAGAATAGTAAATGCCAACCAATAGCCAGTTGTAGTGGACGAACTCTCTCTTAATTACATCGTGAATATTTAATTGCATGCGAGTGTGATTTATATTATTGATATTTTCTTTGCTATTTAGTTAATGATTATGGGTTTGTTAACAAGTCTAATTCAACAACTTCTCTTCAAGCTTCATTCCTCTTGGAAACAATATAATTATTTTATGTCCAAAAGATAAAATAGACATTGACTTGTAAAATAACATAAAATAAACATTGACTTGTAATGAGATGAAAAAATAGAGGTAAAGAATCATGACTTTCACATGGAAATAAAAATACAGGTAAAGTTAGGTTTTAGAGATTAACTCAATGTCGATCTTGTAGGTCATGGTGTCATTTGTTAGGCTTTCATCTTCATAAATTTGTTTCTGAAAGAAAAAAAGTGAAATAAATGAAACTGATAGATGGAAGCTAAATTAAGTGAATAAACTTATAAACATAACTTATGTTACATTGAATTGGTAGAACACATGATGTGTGTGGGACTGAAATGCTAAATTGCCGGAGATTTGGTTTGGTAAAGTTAAATAAGAAGTTTAGAAGAAAAGAATTTAGAGTTGGAGAAAAAAAAACAACAAAGGAGAAAAAGCCGAACAACGTGCCGTTTTTGGGGTCCATTGGAAGACAAAAAACAACAACGTGTTCTCCGCCTACAACACAAAAACATGTGTTTGTAATTCACGTGTTGTTTATACGTTCTTTCTTTGACCATTGTCTTCTTCCTCTTTTCACAAACTCAATCCTTTGTTTTTATTTTCTTATCCTTTTATCGACTTTATCCATGTCGGTAATCATATCACCGCACAGATTTGTTTTTGCTTTATATAAAATTTTATGTTTTCAATCTATGTGGCATTTCACAATTTATAAATCATTTCACTTTTATTGATATGTAATGCATAGAAAATTTAAGGGGTTTAATCCATGTCAACATTGTTAGGATATATGTCTACCATAGACCAGATTTCTCAAGTGTTTTGTCTTAGTCTCAATGTCTAACAAGACTGACGGTAAAAAGTAAAAAATATGAAAATGAATTAGATTTAACGGGATTTTAACTACAGTAGTAGACAAAATCAAAACATATCTTACAATATATTTTGGGCTATTCGGGTTTGTGTCCGGCCCAATGTTTTGTGTCAGAGTGGAATTTGGTTCTTCATCTTAAGTTTCTAAGAAAACTCTCTTTATGGTATAACTTATTTTCTCGATCAAATTCTCTTGTACCTTAGTTCCCCCTTCGAAACAATAGTGGCAGAGTGATTCTTTGACCAGGATCACATGTCATGTCGATTTCACGTTGCATCTCAAAATGGACTCATATATATATTGGAAACTTGGAGGTGTGGATTGAAATTAATCAAATTAAGGAGTTTCTTATTCTTATTCAATGACTTCAAAAGTTTTTGTTCAATAGTGTTTAACACACTGCATCAAATCGCACATCTAGACCACAATCTTGCTCTAAATTTCGGACACGAGTCAATCTCTTCCAAGCTCTTTTCTTTAGCATCAACAAGCACAATCACTTTGTGTTGAAATATCTAACAAGATATAAAAGAACTGATTATTAGATTAATTTCGACCAATGCTCGAATCATACAAGTAATCATAGGCCACATTTAAGTTTACTTTTTTCACTAAGTTAGAAAGAATAAATAAATGAATGAATCAAGTTACAAAAAGAACTAAATCATAGAAAACCTCCAAATTTCTAACGTCATATATTCTAAAGTCTTCTAAGAATCCTCTCTTCTTCTATATGAACTGGCGCAAAGGGATCAACATCACACTGATATCATCCGACGAGCCTCGTGAAGCCGAGAGATCGACAAGCTTCTTACATGCTGCTAACAACAATGGCTTCTCGGTTCCTAAGCATAAGGGACGAGCAATATCTACTGCTTCTTGGTTACTCACCTTATCCCATAAACCATCTGATGCCAAGATCAAGAACTCATGGTCCTGCTCTATTCTCGAGATCTTTGTCTCTGGTTCAGCTATAACCCATTGCTTAAGTTGAGCATCTCCGATCCCTCTCGACACAGCTAAAGATCCCTGGATTCTCCAAACTCCGTGAAACGTATCAACATATCCGCCCGTGGTTTCAATTCTTTTCCTTTCATCGTCTCTAGACGGACGATGATCAGAAGATAGAGCCTTAGCCACACCTCCTACACTCATAACAGCACGACAGTCACCGGCATTAGACACAACAAGGTTCCCTTCACTAACCATAGCCGTGACACAGCACGAACCACCCTTAACGTCTTTCTCCTCAAGAAACGCTGCATCTGTTGTCAAGTAACCGCGTTTCACCGCTTCAGCTACCTCAGACTCGTCTCTTAAACCAACTACTTCTTCTACAATGTTCTTATCTAAGTTCTTAGCCGCAAACTCAGCCGCTTTAACTCCTCCATGACCATCATAGACTCCAAATATCGCCTGAGAAATTATCACAAAGTAAAACAACGTTTAGAATACACTATTCATCGAGAGATTCATCAATAAATACAATTTTCCTCAAACAACATCATCAAGAACCCTAATTCTAGATTATACTACTAATTAATCGCATCAACGTAGATCTGGCATGAATAAACCCTAATTTAAGCTGTTATTGTTAAATCAATCGAATCAAAATCTCCAATTCGATTCAATTCTAAACCAAAAAGGAAATTGAAAAATTGAAATTACCTGTTTAAGATCTCCATGAAGATTGGTGATAGCAGAGAAACGATCCTCCATAGCTTCTCTTCTTCCTCTCTTACAATAAACAGAATAACCATCACCTTCTCTCTCAACCTCTCTACTCTCCTCCCTCGGCGTCGCAGCCACAGCAGCCGCCGAAGACGAAATCGGAGCTACAAATCCAGCAACACCAATCGGTATATCAAGCCTTGTAGGTCGTTTCCTCTTCAAAACACCTCCCGGAGGAGACGATGCAGAAACAGACTCAGATCCAAACGATAACGGAGCAGGAGCGAATCCGGACGGAGGTTTCTGGAAACGGAGACGAAACGGAGATTTAGGAGAAGAAACGGTGGTGGAAGGAGAAGAAGGAGAAGAGGTTTGAGGTTTGCGATGAGAAAGAGTTAGAGAAAGAGATTCTTGCGGCGAAGAGAGAATCGAAGCTTTGTTGCAGAATAGAGACGACGACGGTGAAAACACCGGAGAATTACAAACGGCGACGGAGCAAGACATCGTTTCTAGAATTATTGATTTTGTTTTTTTTGTTTCTTCTCTGGTTTTTGTGACGATGGAGAGAGAGAGAGAAGGTTTAAATATAGAGGAAGAAGAAGGTAATGAATATTGAATTGAATAGAGTCCGTGTTTATCGAGCTTTATTCAAAGTTTTTTGAGTTTTTAGTCTTTCTCTTTGACTTTGTAAATGACGTTTATGCCCTTGCAACTTCCATTTCCTTTATTTACGGCTTTGTCCTTTACTTTCTACAAAAAGGATTTTATTTTGTGGAAACAAAAATAGCTTGAATCCTACTCTTGTTGACCAGAATATATATATAAAGAATTGCTCTTTTTTATACAAGTTGAAATTGGAAAATATCATTTGTAATGAAAAACCATTATTTTCTTGATAATGAAAAATGTATATATCCATGTGATTTTTTTTATTACAGTATACTTGTTTATGTGTAAAATAAGAATCATTCAATTAAAAACAGTTTTTATGTTTACAATTTTTTTTTGTAACATGTATGTAAATTTTATAAGAAAAGTAAATTTGTCATTGTCTAGTGGACTATGTTCTATTGTAAAAAAGGATCGTTGCAATTTGCAAATAAGAAGAAAAACCCTTTGTCTAAAAATAAAATAAAATTCAAGGAAAACCAACATAACCAAAGGAGATATTCGAGGATAAAACAGTAATTCACACTCCAAAAATAGCTAAAACAATGAAGTAAACAATTTTTTGTTTTATTTAACGAGGGCAAAACAGACATTTCCAATTAAGTCAAAAACACGTCTAAAAGGCATAATGGATGATTTACTTGGTAACGTATCAGTGTAAAAGAAGTGTTTCATTGATGACTCACTCTTTTTTTCCTTTTTAAATTAAATGAAAACAGAATCTTAAAAGAATTAAAACGACCGTTGTGGCTCCTACAAGAGATATAACACGGCGTCGTTTCATTGGATGAGTATTTTTGCTGGTCGTAGTCGCAGCTTCTTAGCAAGTGACCGTTGAGAGTCTGAGAGGAGCCTTCGTTTGTTTGTTTCCATTTGATGACCGTTGTGGATTTGTCACATTGTTTACATTATATTATGACAAATAATAATTGGATTTTATGAGAAAAGACAAATATAAAGTTTTAATTGATCTTGTTTCACACGAGGTCTTCTTATTATAAAATACAAGTCTCCTTAAGAGAGTGTTAACTTTTTTTTTTGGGTAAAAGAGAGTGTTAACTTTTGATTTTATATATTGTGACATCATTAAAGGAAGTTTTTTCTTTGAAACGGTATTTGTTGAAATAATAGTACCGTCTTAATTTTTGAATATCCTTAAATATGATAGTTGAAAATAAAATATAGATTATGATCAAACATTAAGATATATACGTATATATTCTGATTTATAAATATTTAATCTTTGTTTATCCCTATCACAATTCATAACCTTAGCACAAATTTATAGTGGATTTTTCTTCAACTCTAGAACATTGCAATAAATATATATTCCGTTTTAAACTTACGTTCTTTGTAATTAAAGAATAGTTGACAAAGAAAATCAGTATTTGCGGTATTATAAGACCAAATTTTTTTACTAATAAGTATTTGCAATATGATTAGACATAAAAAATAATTAATTTCGAAATAAAACTATTACTTTCCACATGTGATGCATTCCCGTGGGGTTAGGCAACATACTTTTAAAATTGCAATCATATATAACTTCATTAATGAATTGAAAAATCATTACTTAGAATCATTACAATAATCAGTCATAGTGTGATTATTAGTTTTGATTTAATGCTGTTTATGTTCAACAGAAGACTGAGTCATATATAAGAGTCCTACTTGAACGATTGGACTTGGTTTAAGATGAGTATATATTTTTTGACCGAATGAAATGATTAATCAAGCAAAGTAGGTTTCTACTCCCTAATTAGGATTTTTATGCGGTCGTCCGTTGTTTCTCGTTGAAATTGTCTTCAATCAACTTTTCTTTCTTTCTAAGATTAAAAAAATTGCAACCCAATGTGTTTTTTTCTAGCAACTTAAAAGTAATAAATATGTTAGTTAATCGACAAGTTTAGGTTTAGCCGTCTACACATATATGTATATATATCTTTGTATCATCATCGTGATAATCTCCTGTTTAAGAGAATATGCTCTCATGTTTATTCACGATGATGATACAAAGATATATATACATACATGTGTAGACGGCTAAACCTAAACTTGTCGATCAAAAATTTCAAAGTTACAGTTAAAAAAAATTGTTGTTCAAAAAATAAGTTATTATCCACCCAGAAATCAGAAGAGTAGTATTACTATACTAAGCATATTTAATCAGGATAATGGGAATTAAACTATAATTGAGATGGGCCTAAATTGAGGAGCATCAAGCCCAATGTATAGGCCTTTTTATTTTAAAGTGTTCAAAGAATGTTGTTATCAACGAATGTTTTTTTTCCTTTATTCGATTTCGACTCATCTTTAACAACAAATCAAAGGACAAGTGTGAAAGGTAGGATTAGAGTACTTCACCAATCACAATTATATTTTTGATTAAACGTAACAAACTTAGTGAACTTACAAATAAAAATTAGGAAACTATAATTCAAATAGATACATTTGCTTGATCTTGGTTAAATCAAATCTTAATACAACAAAGCAGCATAAAACAATTGGTTCCAAGTATCAGGGAGACCAGGAAGACACCAATGGCTACAATCAGAAGAACGGTCAGGATTTCTTTTCAGAGAAGGGTTGAGATCTCCGCTATATATCGAAGGATGACCGTCGACACGAAGAGCAGAGAGCATAGTTATATCCATCAATGAGACATGAGACTTCATCTCTTTAACCACGTCGTCAATAACTTTCTTTTGGTTTACGTAAGAACTTGTTGGATACGATGTTCCACTAAACGGTGTCGTTTGCCCGTAGCAGCTTTTACCTCCTTGAGTTATCGTTGAAGCTTTTGATCTTGAAGTCCACTCATTTGGGCTAAGATCACATATCCAAAAGTCATTTTTATCAATATTTCATGCAAAAAAAGAATAGTAGCAGGGAACAGTTTTATTAAAGATTATAGGAGTGGTAGGATACAACATTAATGGTTATGTTGGTGGCTATGTTTATAGTATAATCTTTTTGCAAGTTGCAAGGAAGAGAAGCTTTCTCATTGGCAAAACTAAAGCAATTGGACTATTATTTTTGGGACCCTATTCAAAAACACAGCTCATATGTGGACCTTTATATATAACAAAAAAAAAACTATTCTTATCCTTTTGTTTCTTTCTTTTTATGCACTAATGCAATTCTCTTTTCGACGGCAAATGATAGACCATGCCAAATTGCCATTAGCCATCTTCATTTTTTTGACAAGGATAAAATGGATTTTCGTTTTGAAATGACATATAATAACTCATAAGCAACTACTTTTTTGTTGGAACGTTATTTACATTTAAAGAAAAACTACTACAATTATATACACACGTATTTTTATCACGTCTACACTTTCTAGCTATAGCTAGCAAAGGCCATACACAATGGTGGGTACTAGAGAGTGGTTTGGAAGCAACTAGCAAGCCAATTTATTTAATATAGTTTGGCAACATCTAGCAAAAAACCTCTATCCAACGCATTTGTTTAGATGTGTTTTCTATTTATAAATTTCCGTCGTTAATATCAAGATAACTTATTTATCAATTACTATCGCACACTACACGTGCTTATAAGACTCTCGAGTAGTGTTAATCATCAACATCATCACATAGCTCCCAAAGTCTCGTGTAGTGAATTAAAAACAAAGAAAAACTAATTTATGAAAGTTTAGTGGTTGAATAATTCATTTTACTATTTTAGGATTAAGAGAAAGAAAGAGAGTGTACATACTTGTAATGTGTGGGTGAGACGGAGAGGAAGAAAACTCTAGTGAGAGGCGAATTGATATAACGAAGGACCCAACTAGACCATGTTCTTAGTCCTTTTCTCAACGCCACTAACCTATCCATGTCGCCGTAATATCTCCCTCCTGTCTCCATCTGCTCCCACCTGTCTCATCCCAAAAACTTTCACTATTCACTCATTTTTTTTACACCCTTAATTTACAATAATGCGATCTATTTTACCCTCCTAGTTATAGGTATGTGAAAAATTCACGTTTAGAGATTATAATTTTAGCTTACCCTCGTAGAGAACCTGTGTGGCTCCACCAGTGACCAGTGTTGAACAATAGAACGTCGGCTGTGCGCCAAGCATTTGATGCATCGACAGAGATTTCGTCGAGTTTAAGAGTTGTCTTTCCGTGAATTTTGTCTATGTCTACAAGATAAGGAGCTCTATAGAATGACACCTTCACGTTGTAGTCCTGTCATTGCATATACACATTAGCAAAGAATTGGACGTGATTTGAGGTATAACTTAAGGTTTGAATGGTAACTAGCAATAGAGAAACAAAAGAAAGAGAGATTATAAAAGAGTGAATAGAGCGAAAATGAGCATTACCATAAAAAGAGAATGAAGAAAAGAGATTATAATTAACGTTATAGCAAGAAAATTAATAATTCAGATTAGTTAAGAGAACTTGTTTCTTTCTAGTGGATCTTATTCTAATCCGAAGTGCTTAGATCTAATTAGTACCTGAAAATAAAATAATATTCCATATTCATGCATTATGCATAGAAGTATTAGAATACTTAAAACTAAAAAGTAAAAACCAATAAAAGTAGTAAAATAGATTAGTAACTGATGTTGTTTTATTGGACCAGTGAAACTGTCACCGACGAGGTCAAGTTGCCTAGCTAATAACAGTTGAAAACGACGTTCAAAATTACAACTTTTGACCTCAATTTTCACGAGGTTATTCTAGAAAATTAAACCAAGAAAAAAAAAAGTTTCAATTACCGACAATAGAAGAATTGTGTTGGGAACTTACAAGGATCATGAAGGTAGAGAGAGGATCTTCATGAATGATGTGTGTACTAATGGACGGTGCTGATGAAGAGATCATACAGATCAACGACTCCCATTGGTTTCTACCCAACGAATCACCAACGAACATTATCGTTTTGTCCCTCATTTCTTGTAGAAACTTCACCCCATTGAATCTGCTTTCCAAATAAAATCAGAAAGGGTCAGTAAATAAATCATTGCGTCGACATTACAATAATAAGTACTTATTATATTAACCGCACCAAACTCCACCTAATCAACAGTAAAATCAATTCAGTTTTTGATAAAAAGGAATCTTTCAAACTTGTACTTATTACACAACTAGAAAAGGCGAATCTCTCATAACTTAACTAATAGAAAAATAAATTATACTAGTTTTACTTATGTAATACCCCTAATTATGAAAAATGTGTTATGAAAGAATGTCCACAACTATGAAATATATATAAACAATTTTTTTGGGATCATTGTATGATCCGAATACTATTGTATACGACAATTTATGGTATAACCAGCTAGAATTTGTTTTTGTCTTTTTCATAAAGTAATCAAATTAGAAAAATATTGGTTGGTGTAGTGGCCCTACTAAAAATTCATCTGCTAAAAACATGAGTTTTACTATTGGATGTCAGGTTATCATCTCTATATCAATAAACGAATTTCTTTTTTTTTTCTTTGATAAACAATAAAAAAACATTCAATAAAATGAAATTTTCTTTGTAAAAAACAGGATAACTAAACCAATTTTAACTCAAATCGATGTATTGGTCTAATAAAGTAGAGCTAGTGACAAGTGAGTGAGTTTATATAACCTAGGGACATTGCAGTTGAATGGTTTCCACCGGAACTTGAGATAGTCGGAGTCAGGTCTGCCGTACGTCTGACAGTCAAATCCCGGATCTATGATTCCTCCGCCGCATTCTTTTGCCCGGTAAAGCGGGTACGTCTCATCCCGCACCCACTCTCCGGCGAACAGATCACAACTACTATGATTCACCGGGAAAACCACCGGATTCCGGCGAGGATGCTTGGCGAAGTTGCTATGGTTGCTTTGGTTCGGCCGCCGGAAGAAAGGAAGAGGTGAAGATGACGTGGCGTTTAGGAGAAGAAACAAGACGAGGAAAGTGAGACATTGAACAGCCGCCATTAAAGAGGCTTGAGGAAAAGAAAGAGAGCGAGAGAGAGAGAAGTTGTTGTTATTATATGTTTTGTCCTTTGCATGGAACTTACTAATACGTAATGTTTTGATTTGAGGACTCCATCTTTTTAAAGGACGAAAATATGGGGTCGGGTTTTATAATTGTTTTTCTTACAATAATTTAATTAAGTATTTATGGTTTACCCATAAATAACAACATTTATTAATACGAGTATTAGTGAATTTCGATTTACTGTTTAACGTTTTTGGGAAATACATAAAAGCAATGTGTAATATTAAAACAAACGTATCACGCTCTAAATGTTTTTTTTTTCAAGAAATATAAATAAGCGAGCTTCTTTATGTTCTCACAAGTCACAAGGTATCAAATATTTTTGTTGTATTTGTTAGAGAAAATACAAAAATATAGATTCTTTGCTTTACTTTACCTCCATGCCTAGAATATAATCAATTTTTTATAATTGTGAAAAAGCCACGTCACTCTGTTGTTACCATTGCCAAAGTAATAAAGCCATGTCACGCTGGTCAAAATTAGTCAAAGCTAACAGTCAATGAAATTAGATTACCAATTTGGCACTGACAGTGGCAGTTGCGCAGCCGCACACTCATAAACGGGACCGTTTTTGACCTGGTCTAAATTGGGTACTATTGATTAGGACATGGTTTAATAAATTGTCTACCGGTTTGGTTTGGACGGACTTAAGTAATGGGCTTTAATTTTGGGCTTTAAAGATCATGATTGGACCGACTTTACTAATCTGGATACTTCGTCATTGGTGTAGAAGTAGAATCCGACCCGATTCGTTTTATTTCTTCTGCTTCGTCGTCTCCTTCGTTGCTCTTGGCGCTCTGGAAATTTCTCGTCGCTACTTTCTTCTTGATTGGCTCAAGCTAGATCTCCCTTTACTTGTGAGTACTGTTTCACCATACTTCTGGGTTTTCGTTTTTGTGTTTATTGGTTTCGTTGCTCTGAATTTTTAGGGTTTGTAATGTCTATGCTTATTGATGGAGCTTTAGGTAGTTTGATCAGATTTCAATTTGCTTATCGATAGTTTCTCTTCCACAGTTTTGTTGGGTAGTATAGTAGGTCTCTGGAATTGGAAATTAGAAAAGAATATTTTTGCGCTGGAACTTGATGCCTGTAAGGTGTTCGACGAAATTCCTCTAAGAAACTATTTGTAGACAATCTTCATTTTTGAAGTGTTACTTTCTTTTCTGCTTCTGTAACAGTTTGTTACAAGCTCTCGGAATCTATCTCTTGGTCTTTGTGAAGGAGTATATAGACAAATGACCTCTCTTGCTTTTTTTTTGGTTTGCAGGTTGAACACTTTTCCAGTAGCTATGGCGAAGCATCACCCTGATTTGATCATGTGCCGGAAACAACCCGGAATTGCCATTGGACGACTGTGTGAGAAATGCGACGGGAAATGCGTGATTTGTGATTCTTATGTGCGTCCATGTACTCTGGTACGTATTTGTGATGAATGCAACTACGGGTCATTCCAAGGTCGGTGTGTTATATGCGGAGGGGTCGGAATATCAGATGCTTATTACTGCAAAGAGTGTACGCAACAGGAGAAAGACAGAGATGGTTGCCCCAAGATTGTTAACCTTGGGAGTGCGAAAACCGATCTGTTCTATGAACGTAAGAAATACGGATTCAAAAAACGATGATATTTGGGTAATTTCATGATTTGTACGATCCTTTTGATTACTTGAACTATTTGGATCTCTTATGCTATGTGTAAACTTGTTTGTTGCATAAAATCTGAAGATATTGGATACAAAACCAGAAGTTATGCTTTGTTTTATGAGTTTTTAAGTTACACATTTTAAAAAGAAAACCATGAAGCCAATTTTTTTCTCGATTCTTTCTTAATACTTAAAATTATATTTAGCATCTTACAAAGCCAAAGGAATATATATATATATAACCAGACTCGATCAAACACGATAAGACCCGATATACATGTTCGAGAAATGATGTTGTGAAGTCCGGTCCATAAATCAAGCACTCGATAGTAGTTCAAAATTAAGTCTATCATAAAATTTATCTCACCAAAATCCAATAATATCACTAGTCTTGAACCTCCTTTGATCGAGAATGTTATTCCATCCGTAAAATTTGAAATTTCCATCTGTCTCTTTTTTCATAGTAAGAGTTGTTGTAATTTTAGAATCGTATTCGAATAAATCCACCATTTGTACCGAATCGTGTTGTGACAATTTTACACAACGATGTCTACTAAACCAAGGAAATAAGTTTTTCTCTACTAACTCTTTAGGCATTGTTAACGTAGTACTCAAACCTGTGTCTGATGCTTTCAACTTTATAAGAGCATCTCCATCCATCAGACACTGTGTGGGTGTCTCAAAAATACTATTTTAATCAATTTATAATAAAATGGTTATTTATTTAAATTATAAATTATAAAAAAAGAATTTGGCCAATAATAAAAAAACAAGTGGAGACACAGTTTCTCAAACCAGAAACTGTGTCTACACTCTCTCCTACTTTTATATTATTTTCTATTTTTTTAATCGTGAGACATTCCTCCAGACATTACTGTTGGAGATGCTCTAAGGATGTTCAATGAATGGCTTGGATCAAACGGCTTATCTCGACACAACTCAGTTCTTGCCATGATTTAGCACCGAAGATATGTGAATATTAGTAGGCCTGGGCAAAAAAAACCGCTTACCAAATAACCGACCGAACCGAACCGAAAAAAACCGAACCATATCCGAACCGAAGTTTTTAGAATAACCGAATGGTTTGTAAAATTCCCTATCCAAACTAACCGAAACCGAACCGAACCGAACCGATAACCAAACGGTTAACCGAAATATCCAAAAACCTATAAGATACCCAAAAATAATATCCAAAACTATAATTATAAACTTAAAATATTAATTACTTTTAGAATCAAAACAATCAAATACTTTAAATAATCAAAATATCCAAATATTTTTTGTTATATTTGTCAAAGTTAAATACTCTTTTACAAAATAGAATGAAATTCTAATTTTATTTCTAATATTTTTCTTTTTTTGTATTTTCTTTTTCTATTTTTTTCGGTTAGTTTCGGTAAATTTCGGTTATTTTGGATAAAAAACCCGAACCAAACCGAACGTGATAAAAATTTGGTTAGTTACGGTTATCTATTTAAATATCCAAAGGTAACCGAACCGAACCAAACCGAAATTCGTAAAATATCCGAATGGTTATTATATTACCATATCCAAACTAACCGAAACCGAACGCAACCGAACCGAAACCGAATGGTTAACCGAATGCCCAGGCCTAAATATTAGGTTTGTGTTGAAGAATTTGTTATGGGTTAAGGATACAGATATATAACAATAATTGTGTTGCGTGGGTGATTAATTGTAATTAAGAGTTCGTAACTAAAAATATCAGATTTTTTTTTTGGCATGAATATCATAAGATTCACTATTAATTGAACATTTTGTATTGAAATATAATTTATTTTAATCAAATTTAATTTTGTTTAGTGTTTCGTAATATGTTGACATATATATAGATTTTCTTATTAAATCAGTCCTAACATGTGTTAAAGTTAAAAAGTCAAAATATTTTTATATTTGACATCTGTTGGTGACTATTATTATTTTCTTACAGAAATACATGCTTTTATAACCTTGATATCATCCTTAAAACATTAAAATTTAAATAATAATTGTATAATTTGTTTGTCAGAAAATAGAAAATTGTATTAAAAGCATAAAAATAAAAGTTTATTTTCTTAATTTTAGTGTATCAAAGAAAATAAAATCACATCACTGAAATCAATATTGTATGATCATCAATCACATCACATATCTCTAAAATCAAAATTCGTGATCCAATTAGTTAGTCTTTAAACATAATTATTTACTAAAACATGGCATGTCATGTCGAAAATATATATGTCAACCCAATACTTGAGCTCGTGTATTGTTTATATTCTAAAAGCTTGCAGAAACGGGTTCGATCGCATGAAGTAGGCTACTATGAAACTATGGAAGTAGTCTACTGTAAAAAGTTGTACATGTTTTCAACAAAAAAATGATATGTGATTAATCATAATTTATCAGATTACACAATTGTTATAAGCTTGTTCGATTTTGATATGTATATAAACTCAATTGTTTTCTACTTAACATGCTAGTAATTCCTATCTTTTGATTTAAGTTTCCATGTGAATGTTTTCGACTCAATAATCTTTTTTCCCCCACTTTCTTTAGCTAGCTAGCTGCAAAATAATAGTAAGAAAAATAAACAAAATTTCTCCAAAAGTCAACTTTCTATGAGTGTGTGTATGTGTTGTATTATAGATACGTCTCCAAAAGTCAACTTTCATTATCATGAGCAGAAACATGGCAAGATAGGGTTTGAAGCCTTTTAATACCTTTATTACTTTTAGAGGCCAATTCTTTAGAAGAAAAATCCATTAGCTCTAGTGATAACAAAGCTCGTCAAACTTTTCAGAGCACTATATACAATATCTGGCTGGAGACAACAGAATCGTAGTGTCTTTCAACCTAAGTCACTATTAGATACAAGACGATCCTCATCTCAAAAAGATTAAAGCTATCCACATGTTTCAAATCGAGAAAGAGCTATCAAAGCGAATATATGTGATGAACTAATTAGTTTTTGATATTTACTTCGGTAAATATGCGTTATGTGAGGTATATCAAAAAAAATATTTTTGAATTTGATTATTTAATTTTAATTCTAAATTTATTTGGGGGAGGGGAGGGGGGATCCACGTCAATCTTATCATACCTACCAAATGTAAATGCAATCATGTTTAAAAGGCAAAATATGTTTTAAAATATGTTTTAAAAATTAATGGTTTGAAGCAAGTATAATAAATCTAAAAGTGTATATAGTAATATAATTGAAGAAAGTCTTCCAAAACTGAGGGCTGGTGTGAGACTTTTTGTGGCGTCTACAAATATAAAAAGAGGTGAACGAGAGAGAGAGAGAGATACAAAAGAAAAGCAAAGAAAAGAGAGAAATGGGTTATTCATCGTCAAGATTTTGGTTATGTATGTTCCTCTTCTTCACATTTGCTTTCCTCTCTTCTGCTCGCATCAGTGTTTCATTTCCAGGTACCTTTTTATTTCTCTGTTTCCTCAGTAATTAATCCAACTAATTTTACTTTTATATGATAATATGGTTTTTTGATTATCCAATCTCCAAGCACTATATTTATAACCTCACCATAATCTGTATCCGTTTAATATCTCATAAGATTTTTTTTTGTTCTCAAAATAATTTCTTCCGAACATGGTTCATCTCATATATATATATTTCTTCTTTGTCGAAAATGGTTCATCTCATATATAAGCTTTGTTTTTCCGTTATTTTTTTGTTAAAGCTTTGTTTTTCCGTTATGTATATTTAAAATTTTCTAAGTTAGTGGGTGAGAGATCTCATTCAGGTATTTTTTACCCGGTGATGCGGTGGTATTCACATGATCCGTATGTAGAAAAGTGTATGTCTTAAAAGATTGCTCCACAAAATCACCAAAAGAAAAGAAAAAACTTAATTCGTCATAAACAAAGAAAAAAGAAAAACTTAATTATTTATTTATTTATTTATTTTTTTTGAACAAAAGATTAATAATATATCCCTAAATGCATACACAGAATCTTTTACGACCTATATGTATATTACATCTATATATAAATATATATATGTTTCGAACTTTCGATAGACAAATTAAGGGCAGTGAATAACATATGAACATAAAATAATATAATAATTAGTACGTAATAGTCGGTGTTAGCTCTGCAGGCGAACTATTGTTAAAACACATTTCAATTTTTTCTTGGCTAAAATATCGTTTTTGAAGTCATTTTTTCGAAATTATATGAACGTTACCAATTCTATTTATATATATATTTAATAAAAAGCCTTTATTCACCTTGAGTTTTCCAAAAGAGACAACATTTGAAAATTACAAAGCAAATAAAAGAGATAAAAACGCTGAAAAAGATACAAGTAGTGAACTAGAGACTCGAGTGGAACAATATAAAACATTTGGTAAATTACAAAGCAAAGTTACCAATTCTATTTACATGCCAAGTATTCTCACATTTTTAGATTAGTGCATGCCGTCGTCATTATACCATGCAAATAAAATTGCGAGATTTCACATCTATACATAATTGTCAATTTTAAAACTATAAAACTGAAGTAAATTGACATTAAAATGATGAATATGAGGATGCGTACGTATTTCAGCTGAAAATACTTGTTAAATAAGAGTTGATTCTTTAAACAAGTTGTAGTTTTATGTCCTCTGTCTCCAGCTTGTATGTATCCAATTTCTCTTTATATTCAAATCAAGTGAACATGAAACACGACGCTCGAGATTGTCTTCCCCCTTTCGCCGATGACTTTTTCACACGACCAACTCTTATATATTTTATATCTTTTTTTTATGCCGACGAATCCAGTAAGAAAGTATGTCACATGAAAGCTATAAACTATGAAATCTGGTGATAGAAACAATATAGTATTAAGGCTTCTTATTGTAATGTAAAATATAACGTAATATGATAGCCTATAATGAGTAATTTTAATTTATGTTCACACTTCAAAAGCGTTGACATTACGACAAAAGAACAAGGACAGATCATACTACGACTATTTAATCAAACTGACATATCTTTTTTAATTGCATAAATTAGCAACTTGAACTGGAACTTAGTCCCTCGTATTTGTAAAAAAATCCAAGCAAATATTTCGATTTTAAGAACCTCCAAACAGAGGAAAAAGGTCTATTTTGTTTTACCCGAGTTTGTGTGTTTTAAAGCTACAGTATTAACATTAATTCCACATGAAAATATATCAAAGAAACAGAATGGCAATTGTGTTATGAATTGGTCTTCATGTTTGTGTTTATACAAATACTAGCATATCTCTTAAAATAATACATCTTATGTTAATTTTATTTTATTAGATGTTTTAGGTATTTTTATTCTAAATAATATAATTTATATAGAAATAACAAAACATAAAATTAAAAAAAAAATTGGTTTAATACAAAACATAAATTTTTGAATGAGTTTCGACATAGTTCAAAAACAAATTGGAAATGAGGGTATCGAGATTCGAGGTTTGTTTTTAAATACTCTGGACTCTCTAGTTGTTAATATTTAATTAGATAGTTTTTATACACAAAAGTTGTTATTGTTAATTTATTGTTCATCATTATTTTTTAGTACGCTTAAATGTATATAAACAACAAAATATGCATATGACAGAAAATGAAATGACGGTAGTGCCAGAACGGTCATTGATGGTGAGCACCAACGACTACGGTGAGCCTTCAGCTAACGGTAGACACGATCCACCGCATGGCGGCAGAGGCCGCAGACGTTGAGAGAGGATAACAATCTTATTTTCTTAAAATTTCCCAGTTCCTCCTTCAAGTTGGCAAATAATCTATATATATAAAGCAATAAAGTATTTTTAAAAACGAGTTAATATGTAATATCAGACTGTTTTTTTTTTTTGACTGTGTAATATATATAACACCTCGTTTGCATTTGTGTTCTTTTCTACATGGACTTGAACTTGTTATTTTTACCTAGATTGATTTCAGAAAATACCATATTATTGTTGTGATTTTTAAGTGCATGATGAGGTTTTTTACTAGTGTTCTTGCCTGCTGGTTCGGTTGGACTTCTAGTAGCATTAGCATCTTCAAATACGAGAAGAAGAACACCAAAAAAATAAAATGGAAAGGTATTTCTCAATTTAATCAACTAACTAATTAAGCTTACTTACAAGGAAAAGAAAAGTTGTCGGTGATAAAAAGAACATGGTTCACATGGTTACGGCAGTTAAGACAGATAAATCCGTTTGCAGTTTGGACCGCTTTTTGTTTACCATTCATAAACTATAATCCGTAGTACAAGTCCGCGGAAGACTAACTATATACCGCTTTTACGTAGAGATAAGTTTGGTCCGCAACGATGTCTGTTCCAAAAAATATAATGGTTTAGTTCATTAACGCTTTAGTCCGCTTTTTCTATCTCATCCACTCAAAGTAAAATGATTTCTGATGATTATGACTTTCACGTTAAACATGGTTCCATCCTAGACTTCTAGGTAATGTAGGAGTCCACGGCTAGAACCTCCCAATAATCAAATTTTATTTTTCCAATATTAAAACTTAAATGAATTTAAGGTAAGACAATAATACTAGAACAAAAAAGGTAAGAATAAATACTAAATAACATGTTAATATGACTGGAAGAATAAGTAAATAAAAAAAAGTTCAATTTGATTCACATGAGTTAATTTGTTAATGGGCCATCTTTATTCAATAAACCCAACAAATCATTTAACAGATAGGCCCAAAGACTTATTAAGAATCTTCTTCGTCGAGAAAATTTCAAATGCTTGCTCCCCAAAGCTCAGGAAGCCAATTCCTAAACGGAATCCATCACTTTGACTGAACAAGCTTCTTCAATTCAAAAACACACACAACGAAGACGAAGACGAAGAAGAAGAAACGATGTTCTTGATCAAAAACCTCACACGAATCTCACCAACTTCATCATCAATCGTGACCAGATTCAGAAGCACCGGATCATTCACTCTCGCTTCCCGTTTCTGCACAGCTTCAGAGACTCAGATTCAATCTCCGGCTAAAATTCCAAATGATGTGGATCGGAGTCAATATTCAGGTTTAGCACCGACGAGAGAAGGAGAGAAACCGAGAGTGGTGGTTCTCGGGTCGGGTTGGGCGGGTTGTCGATTGATGAAAGGAATCGATACGAATCTCTACGACGTCGTTTGTGTTTCTCCGAGAAACCATATGGTTTTCACTCCTCTTCTTGCTTCTACTTGTGTTGGTACTCTCGAATTTAGGTCTGTCGCTGAGCCTATCTCACGGATTCAACCTGCGATTTCTAGAGAGCCTGGTTCTTATTTCTTCCTCGCTAATTGCTCTCGTCTTGATGCTGATTCTCATGAGGTATTGCTTCCGTTTCTCGGTGTTGTTGATTTCTGAGATTAGGTTTTTAAATTTTGGGAGATCATCAGGTTATTGATGATGCAGGAACCATGTTTTTAAGTTTAAGATGCAAATCTATGGTTTTTAGGTTGATGTTAATGTATGTATCTCTTAGTTTTAGAGAAATTAGCTTGATTCTGAGAGTTGATGGTAGAAGAAGATAGAGGGAGAAGTAATGGAGTTTCTTAATGTAACTAAAATGTGAGACTTAGTTTTGTTTTTGTGAAGTTCATGGGGTTTAATATGTTGTTATATTGGTAATAGGTTCACTGTGAGACTTTAACTGATGGCTTGAATACATTAAAGCCATGGAAGTTCAAGATTACTTATGATAAGCTTGTGGTAGCTAGCGGTGCAGAGGCGTCCACGTTTGGAATCCATGGTGTCATGGAAAACGCGATCTTCCTTCGTGAAGTTCACCATGCTCAGGAGATTCGTAGGAAACTGCTTTTAAATCTGATGCTCTCTGATACTCCTGGTAAACAGAATTCATCCCCTGAAGGATAAGAATCAGAATTAGAATTAGAACATAACAGTCTTTGCATAATTATTTTTAATTAGGCATATCGAAAGAGGAGAAAAAGAGGCTGTTACATTGCGTTGTGGTTGGTGGTGGACCAACTGGTGTTGAGTTTAGTGGTGAACTGAGTGACTTTATTATGAAAGATGTTCGTCAACGATATTCCCATGTGAAGGACGACATTCATGTTACTTTGATTGAGGTTTGTTTCTGCTCTTTGAATTCCTCGTTATGTGTGTTTTATCACTTTACAAATTGTTTTTGAGCTGAGTAATTTTTTGCAGGCCAGGGATATACTTTCATCTTTCGATGATCGTCTCAGACGATATGCTATCAAGCAGTTGAACAAGGTGAACTCATTTTGAAGTTAGAACATGTAAAGGTTTTGAGCTAACTTTTATGGAGCATTTCTTCTTAAAAACTACTCGTTTTCATTTACATTAGTCTGGAGTGCGGTTTGTGCGTGGGATTGTGAAAGATGTGCAGTCTCAGAAGCTAATACTTGACGATGGCACAGAAGTTCCCTATGGACTCTTAGTGTGGTCCACTGGTGTTGGTCCTTCCTCTTTCGTTAGGTCTCTTGGTCTTCCAAAAGATCCTACTGGAAGGTTAGTTCATCAAGATAACTCCATTAAACCCTTTTTTTACTAAAAAATATTCAACAGCAACTCGATTTTTTGGATGTTTACCTCGATAGGATTGGCATTGACGAATGGATGCGTGTACCTTCTGTACAAGACGTGTTTGCCATTGGTGACTGCAGCGGATATCTGGAGACCACCGGAAAACCAACCCTCCCTGCTCTCGCTCAGGTAGATACATTTCATACTTTTTTCGCCTCCAATCTCTTCTTATACCTTTCTTCTATGTCACTGAGCAATTAAGGTAGCTGAGAGAGAAGGGAAATACTTGGCGAATCTACTAAATAAGATCGGTAAAGCCAATGGAGGACGAGCCAACAGCGCAAAGGAGATAGAACTTGGAGCTCCATTTGTGTATAAGCACCTTGGAAGCATGGCTACGATCGGTAGATACAAAGCACTAGTCGACCTTCGCGAGAGCAAGGTAACATAATTCGACTCACTCGTCTTCGAAATTTCACTCATAAACTTGTGTTTGAAGGGAAGATTTACTTGGGCAGGACGCAAAAGGGATATCAATGACTGGTTTTGTGAGCTGGTTCATATGGAGGTCGGCGTATCTGACTCGAGTCGTAAGCTGGAGAAACCGATTCTATGTCGCCATCAACTGGTTCACCACTTTCGTCTTCGGTCGTGACATTAGCCGTATCTGAGTTTTGTCCAAAGTCTCATCTCGGCCTACGGTAAACGGCGTCGTTTGTACAGAAACACATCAATAACATAACCTCGGGCTGAAAGAGAAAAGGTTTTAAACTTCTTTTTTTTTTGTGTGGCTGATGTGAGCAATATGTTTTTTTGTTCTTTTTACTGTATTTTGGTTGTTGAGTTTTCATTTGAAGGAAAATGAATGTTTCAAACGAGAACTTTTAATAGTCTTTTTGTAATAATAATTTTCTTTTCATGGTTGACAAAAAAAAAATATATTTTCATGATGAACGATTTAATGGATGATTCACAGTTCTACAATTATTATTTGCAACACAAAAATGGTTTTACATGTACCATTTTCATAGTAGGTTATTTTTACTATGAACAACTGTTTTTATATTACCATGCTAGATATCTTTGGTAAAAATAACATAGCTTCCATGATTTTGCATTTTACAAAAAAAACTGCCCCTGTAGTTAGTGTACAAACACTAAATCTTTGGTCAGTAGAGTAAGAGGATCTCAACGAATTTAATAGTTAAAGACATTAAGCATACTAAAAACTAATAATCATTTGGTGCTACATTTGTGGATTTTTTTTTTTTTGACACCAAAACACCATTATTATTAAGCTAGTTCGAAAAGGTTAGCCTCGTGAGCCAACCACTCCGGAACTACATTTGTGGATTTTGTGGACAGACCCTGAAGAAGTTAATAAAGTTTCATTAAAATATTGAAGTTTTTGGATCTTATATTCACATGTTCATGTCAGTTGTCACGCATGCTCGTATATTCTCTCCAAGTGTATGCATCTCCATAGTATACTTGTAATGAAATTCAATACATATTATGTCGCCGTATTGATTTAAAAAAGACCTTGTAGTTATTTGTTTATTATTAACCTTTTTTGTATCGATCGTTCGTCGTCCTACTTTTATTATCTTAATCGGTTTACACAGAAACATAATGCAAAACAATAATATTTTAAGATAAGGTAATGTCATGTACAGTTAGCGAAAGGACAAGAGAGGGAACAATGTGAAGTGAGAAAATAAAATAATTGACAAGTGATAGTGTCGTGGTTATGTCTTTAAAATCATTTGATCTCTCTTAGTTTGGCTTTATGTCCGATTCCGATCTCTTTGTCTATGTGTGGAAAGTGCTATGTATTGCTACTAATTCTAAAACCAAAAGTATATAAAGCACATATATAACCATAACCAATAATTGTCTCTACAAATATCTTCTGACTAGATCATCACCCGTACTACAGTACAGGTTGAATTTCATTTATTACAAAATTAATAAATTTTATGTTTTAGAATAAAGTTGTTAGTTGTGATATATTATAATAGTAAGTGAAAAAATAATATTTTTTTGTCAGTCCCTATATATAATATTAGAATGAATATATTTTCCTTTTTCTATAGTATTCAATTATGGATATTTTTTTTAAGATATGAAAACGGAAAATAAGATTATTTTTTAAAAAAATTAATATTGTTTGAACAATGAGTTAATTTATGTTAACAACCACAAAATGAGAGTGCATATAATTTAGTTAGATCAAAAATCAAAATATCATAAATGAATCGCATCTAAAACGTAGATTATTTTGAATTACTTAAAGCTATTATTTTGAATTAATTTAGAAAATTAATTTTTCAAATTCTGATTCATTGGTTGTTGAAATAGAGATTTTTTTGAGCTAATTACGGAATTTACCAATTATTCACATAATCAAATATGTTATGAACATATATTTGGTATATAATAATACCAAATTCAATCCGTGTGTGGAGTCTATATTTTCATTTTACAATCCCTATGAAAATATTGCGGCACAATCTATTATTTATTCTTTTCAAAATTGCTTGCAGAATCAAATTTTCAAATATTTAAAAGTGTCAAACCTTATTTAACTCATCTCATCATAAAATCTTAAAATACCGTCTCATATATGGATCATAACTTTCTACCATATAATACATTACATTTAACCCGCCGTCTACTATAAATATTTTAAACATATCTTTTTAGAAAATCAAATTAATGTATTTATAATTTTTTTTTATCTTTTTAATCTATTAAATATTTATGATATTCTTTAATATATTAAATTAAACTTTTTTAAAATGTTCCAAATCAAAATCTTTAAAATCTTTTATTGTAGTATGTAAAATTATGAATTTTAAAAATAAAATGATATGAAATTAAATATAAATATTCAAATAGTTATAAGGATCATAACTCATTTCATCATATAATATATTATATTTAACCCGCCGCCTATTATAAATATTTGTTTCAAAAAATCAAATTAGAGTATTTATACTTCATAAATTTTTGATCTATTAAGTATTGATGATATTAAAAAAAAGGAATATATTACTCAAATATGAATTTTTGACCCGTTAAATTTGTTCTTTCATACATTGAATAATTTATATTCGTTTTAAAAAATTCAAATCTTGGTATATGCGGAAAAATTTTTACTTTTTTTTTTATTATATAGATGATATAATGATTTATTTATTTATAGAAATAGAATCATATAAAGATGAGAGGTGAAGTATAATGATTAATAACAAATTAATATGGTAAGTTAGATATCAAATCTTATATGTTCATTTTGATTTGTCATTTTTTAAAAGAAATTAATAATAGATTTTCGTTTTTATAATTAAATTAAATTAATTAAATTGCATAAAATAGTATTTGACTTGTTTATCCTTAATGAGTTGAATTAATTTACTCTATAAAATTTTATTTCTAATGGCATTCTTAAGTAAATTCTTACAAAAGGGAAGGTTAGTTAAGGGTATCTTATAAAGTGTACTCCCCAAATAATAGTATAGGATTTCCTCATTATAAAATAATAAATATATAAATTAAAATACACTTTGCTGGCAGGATATTTCGTTTAGATCCGATATCAAAAGATTTTTTTTGGATCAATTATTTATGGAACAACAACACATTTTTTCCGTTAATTATCAGAAAGCCAACTATATTTATGTTATGAACTATATAGACGTGGTAATGCATACATCGTAATAACTATATCGGACATATATACATTATGGAATTGGAATCGGGTTATGATACGATGAAGACACTAGTACAAACCACTATGTTACAAACATCTATATATTCCAAAATAACTATTTAAATGAGTATTTTTGATATGCTCTAACTTAAAACCGTCCTGTGGCATTTTTCGGTTATTTCTAGAAGAAAAAAAAGATATGAATTTTAAAACTCCAACTCATGATTTTATTTGAGAAAACAAATACCTCTTGTTGAACATATATATAGAGTGTATATACATGAACATGACTAAATGTATGAAATAAGTATGCCAACAAAAAGCAGAACTATGACTTTACCTTTGAGCGCTATTTACCTTTGCTTATGTTTTCCCCCAACCAACTGAGAAACCTTTGTCTAGTTTACTCATGAGTGAGTGTTTCTTACTCCGGGAAACAAAATCATTACTAAAGAATGTTACTGGACCCACTAATCCGGTAAAGTTATATTTAAGTGTTCGACAACTAAAAAACTTCTATAGCCGAAAATTCCAAACCGAAACATGGATGCTCTAGCTCTCGAATCTCCAAAACATGCACCGTCATTTAAATTTCATAGTGATCATTGAGAATACCTCTAGTTGTAACTAATCCACTTAATCATTTACTAACAAGAACCTTTTTTCGTATGAAAAGTTTGGTGAACCGAACAAAAAAGAGAGAAACCAAGAATTTGTTGGGGGTCGAACGAAATGTCATGCTTAAGGGTCAAGAAGTTCATTGGATGGTTGGATACTTTTAGAAAGTAGAGAACCAATGCTTCCCAATGAAGAGAAAACAACGGTGCACTTTCGTCGGTTCACACGTGCATGGACGGCCCATCTTTAATTGTCCAAAGCATCTATTTAAACACTCTTATTGGTAGACAAACCTAACCTTTAATTAATCATTAGGTTTTAATTTTCATCTTTTTATCAACAAGTAGCTTGATTTCCGGCTAATAGAGTAATAGTATCTTTGAATAATAAGCATTGTTAGATATTAAACCATCCTTTTGCATGGGTTGCACTTTGTGGAGTTGAAGAGACGTGTATATATACATGATAGATCGTGATCTTTAACTGTTTTACTTTTTGGTTGTATGCTTCTATATAATTTAAAGGGAATTAAAAATTAGTTTACTATTTATGTATAGACCTAGCTACGTGTTTTATTTTACACACACAGATTCTATCGATTATAATGACTTTTGACTTTTCTACAACTACAAGTCTTTCTATTGGAAATGAAACTCGTGTGTGCGCTTTGATTTATTTCGATATGCACATATTTTGATACATATATAGCGAATAGCGTATCTCTTCCTCTAAATACTTATCTATATAAATCAGGATACATATTCTTCTCGTGTATAACAATTATGTAGTAAGTTGTTTTTTCATCTTATAATATTTTTTAACATATGGCTTAAAAACCACAAAACTAGATATTTAAAACTTTTTTCGTTCGACATCACTCGTCATGAAGGAAACTAGCTAGTACTTGGCTACTGACTTTAATCTAATTATAATGCGTTTGTACTCGAAAGACGGGGCCATACATGCAATGACTTTTCGGCGAATGAAAATCCAAGTATCCTTACATCACAAGATTAAAGAAAAAAAAATCACATCACAAGCTAGATTGACAATTGATGGACCATTAATTCTCTGTTGGTTATATTGAGTACGAACAAGATCAATCTACTTTTTTAACGTGTTATATATCTTTCAGTTTTGAGATTGTTAAAGATCTTTGGAATGATATAAACGTACAATCTAATGGCTACTCGCATACAACAACTGAATTACGAATTGGTAAACTACAAATAGATGATCATTAGTCATTAGTATGAAGATGTAATATTGGTAAATGAGAATTTAGTTTATGATTAGTTATGAAAAGTAGATATAAACTTTTCATAACAAAAAAAAGAAGAAAAAAAGAAGGAAAAGTAGATATATACAACTCATCTGTGACATATATAAGGTTTGTGAATCGTCGTCGTGATAATAACAATGAGCCTAGATAATATTGTCTCTAAGGCTATGAATTCGAACATTCTTACCTAGTTACCTATGATCTACACTAGACTACTACATGACCTGAATGCAACGTACTCTACGGTTCAAAGCTAGATAAGCTT